GAAAGAAGGCCCGCAAGGATGTCAACCCCGATGAGGCTGTCGCTTACGGTGCCGCCGTCCAGGGTGGTGTTCTCTCCGGCGAGGACCGCACCAGCGGTGTCATTCTCATGGATGTCAACCCTCTTACCCTCGGTATCGAGACCACTGGCGGTGTCATGACTACCTTGATCAAGCGTGGTACCACCATCCCCACCAAGAAGAGCCAGATCTTCTCCACGGCTGCGGACAACCAGCCTGTCGTCCTGATCCAGGTATTCGAAGGCGAGCGATCCATGACCAAGGACAACAACCAGCTCGGAAAGTTCGAGCTCACCAACATTCCGTAAGTTTTCAATGCCGATTCAGCGTATTTGAGCGTCAACTAACATTTCATAGTCCTGCGCCCCGTGGTGTTCCCCAGATTGAGGTCACTTTCGAGCTCGACTCCAACGGTATCCTCAAGGTCGGCGCTGTTGATAAGGGCACTGGCAAGGGTGAGAGCATCACCATCACCAACGACAAGGGACGTCTCAGCAAGGAGGAGATTGACCGCATGGTTGAGGAGGCCGAGAAGTACGCTGAGGAGGACAAGGCTACCCGCGAGCGCATTGAGGCCCGCAACAAGCTCGAGAACTACGCCTACAGCCTCAAGAACCAGGTCAACGACGAGGAGGGTCTTGGTGGCAAGATTGAGGACGACGACAAGGAGTCTCTTCTTGAGGCTGTCAAGGAGACCCAGGACTGGCTCGAGAGCAATGCTGGTGACGCTGCCGCTGAGGACTTCGACGAGCAGTTCCAGAAGCTTTCCGACGTCGCCTACCCCATCACCTCCAAGCTCTACGGTTCTTCAGGTGGCGCTGGTGATGACGATGTCCCCAACGACCACGATGAGTTGTAGAGGGCCAAATCTGGCGTTGAAAGTCGTATCTTATATCCCGAATTTCGTCACATATGCGAACTAGACAGATATAGTTCGTGAGCAAATGTATGAGTACAGAAAGGGCATTTCGCATCTGAGATTGTTAGGACACAGCTCATGGTACATGTGGAGTATTGCTTGAACTATAGTGGTGTTTTTCTGGAATGGAGCATTTATGAGCATGATTTTGCCACTAGTTGGTATGTTTTGGTGACGCATACTGAAGTTTGTTCATCGTGATGTCGATTCTCCTTGCCAAAGGTCTTGTATGCGTGACGATTGCAGCCTCAAGGTCAGAATTCAAACCCACTAAAACCGAGACTGAAATTTTGGAAATTAGAGTCTGAACCTACTGAGCCTAATGTTGTTATCACTATGGAAGGTAGTAGAATGATGCCAGCTGCACTACACGTCTACGTGTCCAAATGTCCACTGCTCTAACTTAGCTTAGCCAGATCAATAGGCATATGCTGTAGCCGAACCAGCTAGCTCAACGGGCATATGTGCAGCTGGTGTTGAACGGGTGTAGGGAGTGCAGTACCCATGAGTCCTACTCTAGTCGACCTTGACTACCTTCACCTTCACCTTCGTTGGTGCACGCCATCGCTGGGCTAAGGAGCAAGGTATACTTAGTAAGAGACGTATAATAAATTAGAACTTGTTAGATTGCATGGTTCTCTATCGTGGAAAAAGAGGCATCCTCGTATACTCGTTGGTCGGGATCGTAGCTTCTGCCCAAGGGTTACTAGTAACCCTGTGCACCGGCGCAGTATAAGTAGACGGGTCAGCAGGCGTGGTATGGATAGCTGGTGCAGCCGGATTGCTAGTGGACATTTGGCGCAGTCAGAGCTCAACGGGCATCTAGTGTACTTATGTAGCAGGGGTGTCCGCCCAGGTTGAGCTGTCCATCGGTATAGTACGTGCGCATTTTGAGCGATGCAGCCATGCTCGATTTGCACGGATCTAAGTACATATCATACGAATAGGACTAAGAGAGAGATAGATGTAGGATACAAAAGCTTTGCCTTGCCTATTGCCATGTCCCATGATGTAATCAATACTCTGCCTTGTTTCTACTAGCTACTATAGGGGGCGTCATCGACATGACACAATGTCATTCGCTGCGCCCTTATCGCGCGTTCACTTAACACTGCTATTATTGTTGTTATGTCCTTTACACACAGATGCAGCTTACAACCCTTCCACTCGCAGTAGCAGCATCGGGGCTCGGCGCCATCCATCCATCCATCCAGTCACATTGCGCGGCCGAAACTGCGCCTTCCGTCATTTCGTATGCTTCTGTCTGTGCACAGGAAAGGCGCGCAATCTGGCTCTCTTTCTCTACTGTGTACCTACCTCCCCTCACCCTTAACCCCCCAAGTTCGCTATCGTCGTCATCACCACCTTTTATTTATTGACTGGAACCCACAACTGCGGCTGCTTTCGCTCATATGTCCGAGCCAGACCCCACAAATTCTGGTTTATTGGCTAGGCATGGGCTATGCTGCGTGTGCCTGCCGCAAGGGGGAAAGGTACGGTTTACGCGTAATGCTCTCTCTCCCTTCATCTGGCTGGGTTTCCTTTGTTTACGTTGCAGCTTTGTTAGCCCGTTTTTTTCTGACCGTTGTTCATGAGAGTTTTTTTTTATTCAACGGCTATAGGCCATATCCCCTTGTCGGGCCGTCATCGTATGCGTTGCGATGAAACAACGGTACGAGGGATAACACGATCGCTTAGCTGAGCGAACGACTGATTTACGGGGCACCCCTACCATTATCTTTTTGTTCGTTATGGTCTGTGGGCCGAGATGGGGGAAGTTGGCTTGTTGGGATCTTGGAATCGCAACGAGTCCTCCATCGGGATAATTGCCTGCTCCGTGGGTAAATTGGGAGGGAGCAGCTATTAACAAGGGGATTCGCGTCGCTAAGTTGGGGACGGCAGTGCAATGCCTCAGGCGCTTACTAGCCGAAACATTTCGCAGCCTTGATTGTCGATCGCATCACGCATGAAAAGATAGGCAAGTTGTATCTTTTTTTGGAACTTTTAAAGGATTGCAAGACTAACAATAAACATTTACTAAATAGACATGACCACTGAGAGCCTGAACGGGAAGCGTAAATGGACGGGCTAACCAGTACCCAAAAAAGTGCGAATGGGGTATCTCGCCAAACAACCGTGTCTAAAAGATTGCTTGTGTGACGAGTCATGTCCAAGAACAAGGGGGAATATGGCAAAGAGGATATATGCAAACCAACATGAAGAGATGACCGACGCCGAAAAGATCGGGTTGACACCGCTTATGAAAGGACAACCCTGATGACCTCGCCGCTCTGGCCCATAGCGCAACCACCACCGGTACCGGCCATGATTGGGTCGTAGCCACCGCCGCCACCATTGCCAGCATCGCAGTTGAAGAGGTCGTAGTCGGAACCCTTCTCGCAAGTGGTCAAGCCATTCTTGCACTTGAAGACGCAAGTGTCCATGTCTGACTTGCACTTGGAGCCCTTTGCAGAGATGTTGTTGCCGTTCATGTTGATGTTGCGGGAAACATCGAAAGCACCAGTTGGGCCGAAGGTGACCTCGAACCAAGTGTTGTCAACACCACCGAACATGGCCAGCTTGGTGTCAGGGAAGACGGGTGCGCAAGCAGCCGAGGCGTTCTCCTCGAAGGAAATGTCGACGGACTCGCCAGACTTGAGACCAACAGAGATCTCGGGCTGCATCTCGTTGATGCACATGTTCTTGAAGTCGTTGGACCTCCAGCAGAAGAGGATAGCATCCTGGCTGTTGTCGTTGGTGAACTGGGTCCTCCACTTGCTGTCCTTGCCGAGCCAGATACCGTTCTGGTTGCTCTTGGGGTTCTTTCCGGTCTTTGCGCCGATGCTGGTGATCATTGACTGGAGTCCGTTCAAGACGTCACCGACAATGTCGTTGATAGAATCGCCTACATTGTCGAGGAGATCGCCAAGTGGGTCCTTCTTGTCGTCGTTGGCGGGAGCCGGGGTGGGGGTGGGAGTGGGGGTAGGAGTAGGAGTGGGCTTCTCCTCGACAACAGGCTTCTTCTCCTCAGCGGGAGCCGAGGGCGAGGGGTAGGTAGGGGCTGCGGCAGCCTCGACTTGCTTGGCCTCAGCAACAGGCTCAGCTGCTGGCTTGGGAGCCGGGACAGGAGAAGGAGTTGCGAAGACCTTGTCCCAGTCGACGTCGCTCAGGTCGTAGGCGACCCTGCTCCAGTCGACGCTATCAGTGGAACGCTTGGCCTCACTACTGACGGTTAGAAATGGCTGGTGTGTGAGTCTTTGTGGCATTACTCACGCTTGACGGCGAGCATGGAAGCTGGCGTGACGGTTGTGGAGGTTGGCGGCGGCAGCTTGGCCAACAACGATGGTGCTCAACACCAGGGCGGAAGAGTAACGCATTTTGCAGCAAGTTTGTGAGTAATGATGCGACAGGCGAGTATTGATGGAGCAGACAGGTCGTAACGGCGTTCAACGGCGTGTCAGAGCGTGCTGATGATGGAGCGATAAAGGATTGTTGTAGGGTTAGCAAAGGAATGACTGAGCGTGCAAGCAACAAGGCAAGCAAGCAAGACCAAGACGGGCGTGAATGAGTGAACGCGCGAATGTGGCTAATAGGAAAAGAGGGACCGTGGATATGTTATATGTTGCGGTGAAGAGGAGGAAAAGGGACGCAAGCGGCCAGACGCAGCGCCAGCCGGACTGCTCCATCTCATCTCCTGGCTGACCTTGACAGGTTAGCGTGCCGCCAACCATCCCCGTCGCTAATTTGCATGGGGCCAATTGCACCGGACATGCGACCCCTGACAGCGCGGCCCCATCGCTTCGCGCCCCTCTGTGATTGGTGTGCCTGGCTCAGGCACAGTTGGCCCGCCCTGGCTCGACACCTTGGCTGGCTATTGCTGAATCGCCAACTGAAGCATCCCCCTTCTTCCCCCCCATTTATTCTACCCTTGGCGGCACCCAAGCAAGCAGCCTTGTGCTATACCGACCGAGCTGGTCTTGTCGCCACGGACAACAATAACAACAACAAAGTCTCGACATCTTGACGACGACGCCGACAAAGCGCACTGCCACAGGCGCCACTTTTATCGGCTCTCCGACCATGGCAAGGCCGCGCAATTACGATCATCACAGGGTGGGACCAGCATGCTGTGATTGGAAAAGGCGTGTGCGTGTTGTCTTGTCGCCGCGAACCAAAGTGGAGAAAACGACCTTGCGGATTCCAGAACCTCTTCCACCGGCCGCGTTGCCATCACACTAGTCCGCCATGTGTTTTTTGCCTCATCTAGTCTAGCCTCACTAGCGTCGTCATGTACGTACTACCGTCTCTTATCACCGTCACTACCGTGGACCAGATGTTTCTTGGTACACGCTCTCGACCGCGTCAACACACTATGGTCCGACAGCCCCGTCCTGCCCCGACCATTCCTTGGCCGGGTAAGAAAGCCTCTGTCAGCCTGTGTAATAGTCGTGCAGCATAGTGACGCAGCAGTTTGCACTCGCTCTTCTTCTATTCGTCCTCTACACGGCTGCAGTTCAGCCCATCTGTACCCACGCATCCGCTGCTCCACTCACAGCCAAGCGGCCGATGCAACAACGGTTGTGGAGCCCCGGTGTGGTCAGCGGAATGATAGAGTCTTTATCGCAATGTGGGGGCTAGCCAGCATGTGTATGCACGATAAAAAACTCAAAGGCTGCTGTCCACCGGTCGCCGTCGTAACAGCGCAGCAGTGGATGCGACGTGGTGGATTTCTGTTCGTTGTTTTCAGTCCTCAGCCGTGAACGCAAACGGAACTAGAAGCCACAACATGTGCGAGTGCATCTCATACCCCGGGTGGCGCAGCTTGTCCGCCTTTGGTGATGATTCTGAGGTCTTTGTTTCGTTTCCATCTACTTATCACCTGCAGTGGTTGTGCATTGACACACTGCGCTATGAGTATACCACAAAGGTTATTGTACTCGGTTGACTGTCCGCATATGGTCAAAGAGCATACTTACCGAAAAATCATCGCATGCGGCCCCTCCCGCTGCTGCTGACAGCAGGTTGTGTTCATGACGCGACATATTACCACAACACTTTGCTCACCCCAACCATGTTGTTCAAGACCCGCCATATAACCTGGCCACAATTTTCTCCCAGCAGATTCTTATTGGCGCATCATGCATACCAACTGCATACTACTGTGCTGGGTTTTCAAGGTACACCAATCACGCAGCGGGCGGAACGCCTTGTGGATGCTCTCAACAAGCTTCATGCAGCTTCGCCATCTTATCGATACCTACTCGGAGCCTTACCGGTGTGATGTCAGCAGGTATACGCTTTCCGACAAGCGAATGGGTTCTAGACGATTGTGTGTAATTTCGCTTGTGCAGGATTTTATGGTCCCGGTGGAGCACTCTGCCAATTCTTGTCAAGTTCGTATGCTCGACTGGCTGGCTGACTGGAGATCGCTGAGAGAATTCTTTCTGCAAGTTTCTTTCTTGCGCCACCACAACATGTGAAAAGACAAGCAGGATGATGGAGCAAAGTCAACGTGTTTTTTTTTTTGCAAATGACTCCACCGGTGAAGTCAAGCAAGATAGCGACCACATTCCCTCACACGCGGAAAGGACGTGTGATAACTCGGGTATGACGAATTTGCCTCCCACCAGCTTACGTACTGTGAAGATTCTACTACTGCCGAAACCAACACAAAGAGACCAGGATAGGTACAGCACGTGAAACACTGCGCTCCGCGACGCCAGAGCCAAATAATAACAAAGAATGGCGTGGCTTAGTGAAACCGCTTCTTGTACTCAGCAACGCCGAGCCCGAGAATCGTTCCCGTACAAAAATCAAAATTGTCCCCAAGAGTAACCAAGACTGGTTCGTCAGCCACCAAGACGGGCGAAGACAAAAGGGGATACGACGCCTCGTTTGGCCAACTTATTTCGACTTGCACAAGAGTTAATATTTTAGCAGAGTGAAAATTCGTGTGCGGGTTCGATGGATATCAATCACCAGAGCCGACGCGCTGGTACGGGTAGTGCCTGGCGATCAAACATGTTTCGGGTGATTAGGAGGAAAGCCTGAAGATCAGGTTCGCCGATCCGCCCATAAAGTGCAATGGGAATTGCAACACATTCAACAACCGCGACCCCCCTCCCACCCAGCTTCCAAAAAAAGAGGGGTATCGATGCCTGATACAGCGCGTGAAACACACCTGTGAGTTTTGTTTCGTGGCGTTTGTTCGTTGGCATGTATTGCTGCGGATGCTACGGATTAACGTACGACTAGAGGTGACGATCCTTCTTGCTCATGACACCAAGGGTCTAGCCATATGACTTTTGCACAGCTACTGTGTACATAGTTCAACACTGCGGCTTTTGATGCCACAATACCACGATTCGTCGCTGTGTATGGTGGTGTCTGGACGAAAACGGATGTAGGCACTTCTTGGATCCTTGGGTGCTAGGAGAACACTCACGTCCTCCGGAGACTTTTACTTCGTTATCTGGTTTTGCGGCACGTACATGGTATATACATATATACAAACGGAGACTTTCTGCAGTTACTATCATCCCATAAGTAGTTACATACAAAATTCCTTTTCCCCCTCGGCCGCCCCGCTGCACATGCAATACGTGCCGCTACACGGCCCAAACCCCCTAAAAAAAGAAACCATACATGCATTCCCGATATGCGTGTATGCGTACAAACTCCGGGTCAGGGAAGCATTTACCAACTCGCATACGTGGAAATCGAGGCGGAGCTGCAATCTACGTTTTCCCGGCGTGCGCAAGCGTACCATACCAAGGTAACCGGACCAAAAAAGTGGACGGTCGATATGTCAAAACGTCATCGATGACCCTTAGCAAAGCGCGTGAGCTACTACATTTGCTTGCGTTGAGAACAGCACTGGTCTTGGTCTCGTTTTCCACTTGCTAGGTATCGAGTACCTTGTTCAACTTTGAACCCCCCGCATCCGACACTACTATTTACACAGCGTAACATCTAACCTTCTTACAAAAGGAAATTTCGGAAATTCAGATCTTTATCACGATCTCTTTTATTTTCTCTCTTCTTTGCCTTTTCCCGCATCATTCATGACTACGAAATCGCTTTCTACTCGGATGATTCGCGTGTGCATCAAGCGACATCAAGACCAAACAAGAGGAGCGCATAGTAGGGAAGAAGAAGAAAAGAAAGTCCAATGCGAAATCATTTGTCAAAGTGGCTATATTCGAAGAACAATGAACGTGATATCGCATCGTTTTTTTTATGGATGACTGGGAGAACGGCCACTTGTCCCACTTGTCCACAGAAGTATCAACGTCAACCATCACCGCACTTTATACGTCAGCTCAGCGGCATAAGGTAGTAGTTCTACAAAGGGGTTGTGTGAAATGAACGATGACTAGGCTATTCTCCCCTTTGCATTTCTTCCAATGGAGGGGGGGGGGGATTTAGCCGAGGATATAGCAATCTGCACGATATATATGTATCCTTCATTCATCCGTCTACGGATCCGGGATTACCCCCATCCCCCCCCCCTAGATGTGCGGATAGCGGGTGGAGGTCCGTAGGTAGGGGTAAAGAGAAAAAGTGTTTTGTACACGGTATATATAATGAATGGAGCGTGGGAAGTGTCGAGTCACGAGTCTTACCATGAGGATGGGATACGAGTACCCCTTCTCTCCTTATCCTCCTACGCTGGCTAAGTAAGGCAGCAGACTAGACGAGAGAACAGGCTTGCTAAACTTGAAACTTGTGGGATTCGATTTGACTATGGTATGTATGGGGAAAAAAAAGTTTACCGTATTATACTCTGGGGCGAATCTCCTTTCCCCCCCCCCCAAGTAGCCATAGAAAGTAACTCACAAAATATTTGGAGACCATTTCAGTATTAAACTAAACCCCCTTTGACACTGATTTGCAGGAAGGAAAGTTTTTTTTTGTTTTCAAGTTTTAGTGTCGCAGAAGCTTTTCTTGTCATCTTCTCCTTGGTAGGACTCCTGCACTAATTTCAGAGAGAGATGAAATACAGTGCACCTAGCCACTTCAGATAGCCCTCGTATAGGCCAATACAACTCAAGTCATACTCGGGACCTGGAAGGTGGGGTCTGCTCGAGGGTTAGTAGGGACTTTGTGCGCTAGTATGATAAGATGTGGGACTGAGCGGGGTTGGTGTGGTTGGTCTTGCTGGGGTAGTGGGTGAGGAAAGTGATGTGAAAGCATGAGAGAGAGGAAGAGGATAGCTGTCATGTCGAGTGTGAGTACCAGAATATTGCAAGATGGACGGTCGGATTGCCTACGTGCTCGCTGAAGGAGGAATTGGTTGTATCTGTTTGGCGTCTAGCATATCAGATTATTTTCCTCAGAAAGGAATGGCAGGCCACACCTCAATCTGCCGGAATGGAGTACCAAAAACACTTTGGTCAGAATGCATGTCATAAGAAGTAGACAACTGAATCTTAGTGTAATAAGCCTGGTATAATAACGTGGCGTTACGATCCATATAAACATACAATCGCATCAAGCAACAGCAAAAATAGCATTGAATCGCATAAAGAGGGAGAGAAAACAAAGATAGATAACTATGATACACGTGCCTGCAAATCTAACTTAAACGTGTTGCGCGCGTTGCATCTACAGAAAAAAAAAACGTATCCGTCATCTCCCCAAGCCATAAAAATGGGTAACTTCATACAAGAAAAAAGCGAATGGACGTTCCGAGGCCAGCCATGCGGGTGAGGTTGGGTGGGGTATCTCGAAGCATATATACATGTATAAAAACGAAGGTGACGAACGACCTTTCTCACCGAGGTGAGAAGAGAGGTCATAATCGTATCCCAAAAGGTTATGGGCAGGTAGTGTATGAATGTAAAAAGGTTGGCTGGAAAAAAAGGGAGGACATCTGTATCTAACAGAAAAGAGAAGTGAACGCCATAGAAATGCATGAATGGTATCAACTGTAGGAAAAATCGGGTTTCGCTACGTAATAAACAAGATGTTGATCCGAAAAAAAAACTTAGTAGTTGTTGTTGTCGTTAGGACGAGGTCCTGACGGGGTGAAACTACGCTGTGGGCCAGGCCCAGATGGGGTGTAGGAACGTTGAGGACCAGGTCCAGAAGGAGTGAAGCTGCGTGGAGGAGGTCCTTGAACCCAACCTGGCTGGATTGGAGCAGTGGCACTGCGCTGTGGCGGCATCGAGCCATTCATAGTACGGTCAAGTATGTCCCGGCGTGGAGGTGCTGTGTTTGACCGTGGTTGGCTGGGCAGACCGCCAAACTGCGAAGGGGCAGGAGAGCCAGCCCTCAAAACATTGGGCACTTGTGGTGGCTGGTAGTCATCGTAATCATTCGGGTCGGGGTAGTAATGTCGGGAGATTTCCTCTGTCGGGTTGCTTTCAACAGGAGATAGCTCGTATTCGGGACCTGAAGCGGGGCCGCGGCTGTTGTACGGACTGAATCCCTGGTATGGACGACTTGGTTGAGTTTGCGATGTTAGTGCGTCATTGGCAAGAGGAGAAACCAGTCGAGGCTCAGAATCATATGGAGCATTGCTGAAGCTCGTGTCCACTGGCGGCAAATGTCCCCGTTGAGCCATTGGAGACGCCCTGCCCTGTGACATTTGCGTAAAAGGCCTGTCGGAGGGATAGGGCGGGTTGCGCTGTTGACCAAAATAGTCACTACCGTTGCGATCGAGAGGCGCCATTCCGGGGGCTGGCGACGCTCTGCCCATACTACCGGCTTGGGGCAACATGGGTACATTGGAACCATAGCTGTTAGTAGAAAAGGTGGTAAATTGTGACTCGGATCGCGCAAGCGTGCTGGGACGTTCGTCGAGTGTGGGCAGAGATGGCTTCATCATCAAGTTTCGGCCATTGTTTGAGACCATGCTGTTGGTGTGCGACTGAGGATATGGGGCATACGGTGGAAGCGTCGCGCTAGTACTCATTGTGTCGGAGCGTTGCAGAGAGAAGACGGTAGATGTGTCATCATCGTAATCACCAATATTGGGCAGAGTTGGTCGTGACTTGGATACGTCAAGCTGGCCCTTTTTGATGGCCCTTTCTTCTTGCTTCTTCAATTGCTGGTTCTGCTTTTCGATTGCCTTCTTGATCTTCTTGCCGACAATGCGCTCAAGACGAGTCTCAACCTTGCGACGACAGTAGTTGGTCAGACTGCCGTCAGCCTTGGGAATGTAGTGCCACAGGAAGAAAATGTAGAGAAGGCAGGCGACAATCAAACTCAGGGCGGCAATGACCCAAATCAACATGGAGAACAGCATGGCGAAATAGATGACGGTTTCTCGCCTATTGCCCGTGTCGATCATGGTCTTGATATTGACAAAGAACTGCTCAAAATTGGATCTATCCTTTGCAGCATGGTCGCCTCCGGGAATGATTTGGGCTTTCATAACGGCGTATAGAGTCATGGCATTGATGGCGACACGGGGTCCTTGGGCGACAATGATGAGCAACGCGCTCTTGAACTGGAAGTAGACAAAGAGGGCGATGTAGTTGACGCCTTTTTTACTCTTGGTCAACTCTGCAAAAACCAAGAAACGGCGCCAACCCTGGCCGGAGGATGTCAGGCGCATACTCTGCCAGATGACGGCCAGAGGCTCGAGGTAGCATTCAGTGACGCTTCCGGTGCGCATGACGCGCATGGTCCTGATCCAGCGGTATAGGAGAAAGACGTAGGAAATGATGATGGTGATGGCAAAGATCCATTTTGCGATTTCAAAAGGAACGGCGGGCTTGATGGTGCTGGTCCACTTGTCAAAGGCGAGAAGATTGATGGCAGTGAAGGCGTCAGCAGCGTAGACGGCGCAAGAGACGAGAACAAGGATCCAGAGCCAGGCGTAGGAGAAGGGAGCGAGACATGAAGTGGACTTGAAATCGGATAGAGTCTGGATGGATTAGTACATTACCTGAGGGTGGGTTTGTGTGTCACTTGGGGGTGCTTACGAGGTGCGTCCACTTTTGCTCTTCGGCCACGGTAAGGGCTTTTTCCCGATCTCCGCAGCAGCCCATGGTGGGTGGTGGTGTTGAGTATTAGGTGGCGAGGAGGTATGTATATATGTATGTATGTCTGTATGTGTGATATGTAAGGAGTGGTCGTACGTATCCGGTCAACGGTATGGTATCCTACAGCCCAGCTGCTTTGTCGAAGGAGTGACTTGTGTGGCTAGGACATGGGTTGGGGAGGAAGAGACAAAGAAAGGGTGGTCGCGAAGGTGGTAACAGGCCTGCTGCTCACCACGAATCGAGCAGAGGGAGAGAGCGACAGTAAACAGAATAGTTTTGTAGGGCGAGGGAAGGACTGAGGTTGGGGGATTTGCAGGGGACGGGGTGTTTCCCAGAAGCGTAGGTGTTCAGTTGGTACGGGGGCTTGCGTGCATAAGAAAATACGCGTGTTGGGTGGAGCGTCTCACGTTTGAGGCACAAGGCTTGGGCACAGCGGTGACGACGGAGAAAGCGAGACCGAGAGGGACTGCGCGTGGAAAGGGAAAAGGCAGAAGCGAGCTATCGTCGCTGCGAAGGTGGAGTTTTGAAGTTTTTTTGCGCCGCAGTGAAGGCGAGTGAGGGCGCAGTGAATAAGCGGGATGCTGAGGTGGTGCTGACTGCGGGCGTTAAAGGAACGGCAGGTGCAATTGAGCACCGAGCGGGCAGTGGCGATGGGGATAAGCAAGAGAGAGAGTGAATGTCAAGCGCCCGCGTCTATGTACAAGTGTCTATAGATACACCCGGCAGCGTTTGCGTGGCAGCGGTTGTCGTTGCTGTCGTTGCTGTCGTCGCTGTCGTCGAGGGTGTAGTGGGTGTAGTGGGCACGAGTGGCAGTAAGAGAGCGCGTGCGGATGCTCAGGGCGTCTTTGATCCACTGCCCTGCGCGAGCGGCTGGTCCTTTGCTGGGCCTTTTTGCTGGGCTTGGGGGCTGGCGGCCTCCCATTGGTGGCGCCACACAGGCTGATGTTTGAGGGTGCTTCACTAGTCCCAATAAGGCAGGTCGCTAGCCTGTTCCTCATCTCCTGCGCCGCACCCAGCGTGGGGTAGAGTGCCAATGCCAATCTATCCTACCACCCTACCACCCTATCGCTGTCCTTTTCGCGCCGCCCTTGTTTCTTTCTCGGCCATACACACCCACTGTCGACAAAGCTTCCCGCAAATCCCAATGCAACAAGTGCACATCTCCACTTCCCTTCGGCGTGGCCGTGGCACAGGCGGCACCAGGCGTTGGCTGCTCCTCACCACCTATTCTCGTGCCACAGTCCTTGTCTGAGGCCTGCATACCCGCGTGCGGAAACGGAAATCCCCATTGCCAGTCTTACCCACTCTGCCTCACACACAACAAAGGGCCGATGCTCTGGGTCCATCGGCAACGTCGGCTGCTTCAGCCCTGACGCTCCAGTTCCGGCCAAAACGAAACGCGCATGACGCCCATCATTGGACTGTGCGATAATAGAGATAGCCTTCGTCATGCTGCTGTCATGTGTCAACCTCCAGTGCATAATTCTAATTATTCCCGACTGTTAACCGTCCTGCTAACGTACGTGTGTGTGTCTATATGGTCAAACACGACAATAACATGACCGTGGCCACATTAATGCCATTGCCAACTATCCCTATCCTTGCTCAACCTCAGGCTCAAACACTCTCAGCCCACCCGACGGGATTGTTCGCTCGTGACCTGTGACAGCCAAGTCTGCAGTCAGCGTCCTGCAAGACTTGGTATACTGAGTATGGAAGTCTGTCACCCAGTATCGATCGCAGCACTAGAGGCTTGGAGCGGACAACGTCGGCCTCGTCGCCGCACTCAAGCCCCCCCCCCACCAAACCACACAGACACTGAATGACGTCTAGTACAACGCCGGCACAGTATCGCTGACTAACCTTCGCGTGCGTGCTTTGTTAAACCTTTGCGATGAGCTAAATATACTTCCAAGTTCAACAATTCAAAGTTCAGCAATTGCACCAAGCAAGAAAGTCACATGTTCATTATGTACATAAACATGCCAACTGCGAGCATGCTCCCTGCCCCCCTCTGTCAGCATTTGTGAAATCTTCCGCTCAGCCCGTTCACGTCGCCCTCGGGTGCTTACTCTGACTCTGATATGTCCATTGCCACATACGGCAGCATGTAATCATGAATACTACATACATTTCCGGCATTCCGGCCAACTCAGTGGTGGCATCTTTCTTACAAATCACCACCTGCCCTAACCACTCCATGCCAACCCCAACAAGGAAGGCGGGGCCCTGCGTATGCCCCGCGCGTGTGCGAAAGTAAACGTCATACTATTATTTTCTAGAGACGGCACGCAAGACATCACGCCGTATAAAACCCGCATTGACCGCAGCTTCAGTTTTGGTACGACTCAGGCTCGATCAGAAGAACAGTTCATTGCAATCCCCTATCACCCTCATATCCCGAGTACCTCAATCGTCAATTGTAACCATGGGCGCCGAACCTGACACTGCGAAGCCACACTCGCACCACGCCCTTACCAAAGACGTACCGGAGGACAAGAACAGCGATAAAGTCGCCAAGCAAGATGAATTGAGAAACAAGGCTGCACCTGGTGTATGCGATACTGTCCTTGATGTCTCCACAATTTACTAACCCATCTAGATCTCCTACTTTACACCTGAGCAAGACCCCCCTGCTGGAACTGCGTTGGGCATGCTCGATGGCAGCTCCAAGATTCCCAAGCTCTTCCAGCCGCTCAAGCTTCGCGGTCTCGAAATCCAGAACCGCATCGCCCTTTCTCCTCTCTGCCAGTATTCGGCCGAAGACGGTCACCACACCAATTGGCATCTTACACACTTGGGTGGTATCGTCCAGCGTGGCCCTGGACTCACATTTGTAGAGGCAACCGCTGTTGTTCCAGAGGGCCGTATCACGCCCGAGGACAGTGGTCTATGGAAGGATTCGCAAATGGAGCCTCTTCGCAAAATTGTCGAGTTTGCGCATTCCCAGGGTCAAAAGATTGGCATCCAGCTCGGACATGCTGGACGCAAGGCTAGCACAGTGGCGCCATGGCTGAGCAAGGGTGACATTGCTACCAAAGAGATGAACGGCTGGCCGGATAATGTCTATGGTCCATCAGCCATTCCATTCAACGACAAGCATTGCACCCCCAAGGAGATGACCAAACAGGATATCGAAACGTTCAAGCAGGCCTTCGTTGACGCTGTCAAGCGCGCGGTCAAGATTGGCTTCGATACCGTTGAGATTCATAATGCGCACGGTTACCTGCTGCACTCTTTCCTTTCTCCCGCATCCAACCAGCGTACCGACGAATACGGTGGCTCGTTCGAGAACCGCACCCGCCTGACCCTTGAGCTAGTAGACCTCACTCGCAAGACCATCCCGGAGAGCATGCCGCTTGTGCTGCGCATCAGCGCGACCGACTGGCTTGATGAAGCCGGTATCGAAGGCTGGACTGTTGACCAGACTGTCCGTCTTGCCGAGATACTTGCCGACAGAGGTGTTGATCTACTCGACGTCTCATCAGGTGGACTCCACGAGAAACAGCACATCCATAGTGGACCCGGATACCAAGAGCCATTTGCCAAGGCTGTTAAAGACAAGGTTGGCGACAAGATGGCTGTTGGAACCGTTGGTAGCATCACCGACGGCAAGCAGGCAAACGATTACCTCGAGAACGACAACCTCGACGTTGCATTCATTGGTCGCATGTTCCAAAAGAACCCTGGTTTTGTGTGGCAGTGCGCAGACGATCTTGGTGTAGAGGTGCGCTGGGCGAACCAGATCCGATGGGGCTTTGGTGGACGTGGCAAGAAGTAAGTTTCTTGCTACTTATGTATAACGCATTTAGAGTTGTCATGAGCGACATGGAGGTCCTTTTCGCTTTAATATAGTAGATTCTGGATTTAGATATGGACATACAACTTACGAGCAGTACAATGAATCTAATGCAAATTTCTTCAGGGACCAAGTCATCGATAAGAAGGCATTTGCCAATGAAGGTGCATTTGAAATGAACAAGAAGGACTAATGGGTCAAAGTCAAGTACTGAAGCAGTGGTATCTGACTATTTGTTGACAATTTGCTCGCTCACATTGAAGAAATCAGACTCAGTGTCCACATGAAATTTCCTTTTTCCCAAACACCTCTTTCCAAAGCTGAAATGACTGGAAGCTTTGACTCGGATATCTGACTTGCCCCACGTCATTTACCTCCTTCATTCGTGCCAGCTCTTCCACTGTGAAGACAACTTCGCTTCCCTTGACCGTCACCCTCTCTGGCTCTGTGTATGGATAGATTTCTGCTTGCGTGCCTGGGATACGGCGATCGGCTGTGTTTGTCAGGATACCGATGATTGTCTTGACGCCCAGCACGCTTTGGATATTGTCACCGAGTCGCGGCAAGACGCCGTTGAGGAGAGAAGTGATGGAGCGCGAAGTCTTTTGCACCGAGCTAATCACGACGCCGCCGGGTGCATAAGCTAGCACGTCGCCGTAGATGTCTCCACTGCCAGTTCTCAGGTGTTGATGTTCAGTTGATGAAGCCGATAGTGCAGCTTCGCCCATTCTCTCTCCAAGATGCTGTATCCATTCCTGCGCGCCAGGCATAATAGGTGTTGCAGACCGCTCATCCACAGTGTGTACACTTTCCACCATCCACCTTAGCACCGCATCGCTAAGCACCTGGTTCGGATAAATCGTGCGCGACAGCAAGTTCGGAAGCCAGCCCAACGCCTCCTCAATCCAATTCGTCGGGCTCTGCCTCACAAACCGAAACGTCATACGCCCGACATCGTAGTGCGTGCCCGGAAACCATTTCTGCGTGATACTCGCCCTTGCCTCTCTTTCGTCCCCTGCCGTCTCCTCGCTCGCAGCCACAAGACACGGCTGGAAGATCCACAGCCGATCGTGTAGGCAGGGTGCGTGGTAGCAATGCTGCACCACGCTCGAAATGCTCATATCGAAAAACTCAAACGGACTCCAATCGAAGCCCACTCCCGCGCTCAACCGCGGTATCCCTAGCGCGCCCACCGTATCTATGATGCCCATGAAGCGAATCGGGCGTTTAACCTGCCACACTCTATCTTCTAACCCCTTCCAGCGCTGACACTCCTCGCTCTTGGGCGCGTCAACGGGAAGACTAGAGCGATATGTGCGAAAGATTTCGTAGCAGAGGCGCGAGACTTCGTCGTCAGTGTAGTCGGCGCGCCGCTTGATGATGCCGCAGTTGTTAATCATGCCGGCGACACAGCGCACGGTGAAGGCGCCGCGACTGAATCCGAACAACCAGATTTCGTGGTCGGCGGTGTAGTTGTCTACGATGAATTTGTACACGGAGATGCATTCTTCGCTGATGGAGGAGGCGGTGGCGCCGTCCCAGATGTACTGCATGAAGTTTTTGTTGAGGCCTACGCCTTCTTGGTAGCCGGCGACGATGGCATCGGGGGCAGTAGTAGTAGAAGTTCCAGAGGCGTTCTTGTGAGGTTGGATAGGATGCACGGTTGCCGCGGCCTTGTCGTCGGTTTTGTACTGCACGGTGCCGACCATGTTGGCGAGCTGCCGGATGTTGCTGGGTGGTGCGTCGTCGACGGCTGTCTCGCGGCCCACCCATGTGCCGTCGCAGAAGACAGCGAGGCGTTTGGGGGGTCGGTGGGAGGGTGCTGAGACCATTGCGATTGAAAGTGACGCCGATAATATAGCTCTTTATGTTTGTAACTTTTTCTTCCTTCAATGGGCACTGCGATGGCCTCCCAGATCTCTTCTCTTTCTGAAGGCGACGACGATGTAGATGAAGAAGGAAAAAAAGCCAGGAGAGTAAGCACCACGTCCACCTTTTGTCTCTTCCCTCAGCCTTGGTATTCTTGGTCCCTCAGTCCCTCCTCGTCCTTTCAGCTGACAGGCAGACACACGCACCTCTACGGGGGCTGAACTATATCAGCACGTCTCAGCCTTGCCCTGCTGTTGTACTTACCCTAAAACGGGTGCGGCGGCTCACGAGCTGGGCAAACAGGGGGTCTTGTTGAATCTCACCGCGTGCGCCTTCCTTCAGCACCGAGAAAGATTTTTTGTTATGTATGTATGTAATCCTGGGAGCTGACTACAATGAGCTGAAGATTGCGATAAGTGTGCAGAGAGCTGGAGATTTTAGTTGTCGCCTGAAACAAGGCGAGGATGGTGGTTCCGAGACACTGTGCGGTCCGCGCTATGACTTTTGCATCATCGTTTGATTTCTTATCATTTGCAAATGTAAACCGTCCTGTTTTTTTGCGGGTAGTGTAGACACGTATAGCGCAGACGTAGATGGAGAATAGATACGTGTATACTGGCTGACGTCATGTCTTGCATGTCAGAAAGAGGGCTAGCGGGTACCTGACAGTTGTAGTGGCACTAACGCGACAATGCATCATGTGTGAAGGTTTTGTTCTCGTGTTGCCAGACCTTTGAGACATTGGAGTGTAGTTTTTGTTGTGAGTGAGCCGAACATCCCCGTCGACAGGTGATGGAGTCTCGTGCCCTTTCCCCAGCTGCGGGATCGACAGATTTGGCGACCGCAGCCGAACTGGGCCATATGACAATTGTAAAAAGATGGAAAAAGGGTATCATTATCATAACTACCAGGACGCGTGCAAATGCTCTTCCCGTTAACCAAGCACCTCCTCCAGCGCCTCCCACGCCCCCCTCTGCGCCTCCCTTCTCCTCACTTGTTCCTTCCCCACACCCGCACTCCCTTCTGCCCCCGCGTCCCTCACCCCATCCCTCTCTTCCCCATCCACAGCCCCAAACCCCGCAAGCACCTGCCGTACCTTTTCCCCCATTTTCCGTACTCCCTCTACCTCTGCCCTCTTGCGCCGTACCTGCTCTTCCATCCGCTCAATAAGCGTCTGTCGCGCTTGATGCGGCCGGTACTCATTAATCAGCGCGTGCATATTGGCCACCATGGTCATGATATCCTTTAACTTCTCATCTTTCTTCTCAGACACCGGGTCCGAAGTCACAATGCCCAAGAGGGATATATAACTTAAAAGTATACTACGCAGAAACCTGAAAAGGTAATTTTGTCTGTCTAGCGATACAGAGTTTGATGTCGTTGTTATTGTTGAGGAGGCAGGTGGTTGCTGAGAGGCTGTGGAGGAAGGATCGCTGGGGTAGAGTTGTTCGTACTGCCAGTCTTGGAATACGCCTTGCATTTTTAGCTGGTCGGCTATGTATTCCATGTTCTTCATGAAGACATCGGTGCCTTTTGCTTTGGCGACTGTATCAAAGACGTGGAATTCGGCGTCATCGGCGGGGGGCTCGGGCGGGATCAGGTAGCGGAGTTCGGTGGGGAGTGAGAGGATTTGCTCGGGGGAGAGCTTGGTTCCTGGTGCGGCGCTGGAGGAGGCGTCATTGTCGTCGTTTTCGTGGAGCCCAGCTTCTTTCTCAATTTCTCGGAGGCGGGCGAGGTTTTCTGGTGTGAAGTGCTTGTAGAAGGGTGGGGGATCGGGGAAGAAGCTGAGGACAATGTCTTCGTCCTCGACTTGACCGGGTTGTTGAGGGTCTGCCATGTTCACGAGAGGGCTATGCACGAGGTCGCTTCTATGAGCCGCGCAGAGAATATGTGATACACGGCTGGAATTGAGGTTTGGACTTGGAGTCCATCATCAACGCGTGCTTGCCGGACCCTTGCATGCAAGCTTGGGTAGCTCAAGCTCGGACCCCTGCTATTATCCACTTTCACCACACGTGCTTCGCCGGTAATAGCCGCAACGACATCGGCACGGAAGAGATCCTACCGGGCACAATTAATAATTGACTGTCTATGATCGTGAGGGAATGACGAGCGTCGCTGAGTATGCCCCGCTTATCTCCGAGGCAATTTGTAGTGTGCACTCAAGATGATGCTATAAGTGGTATTACCAACCTGCTACCGAATGCCTCTCTTAGTGAAGCCGTTTATAAAACCACATCTTGCCTTGATTAATACCAGACATCTTCGCCTCATGCCAAGCTCCACTCTACTAAATCAACCATGTCTACCCAGAAAGCAGTAGTCCACGTTTCAAAGGACGTTTCTGAGTTGAGAAGCGACGTACCCCTTCCTAAAATCCCAGCCGACAATTGGCTTCTGGTTAAGACCAAGGCTGTTGCATTGAATCCGACTGATTGGAAAAGCATCCACCATTCAACTTCGCCGGGCGCCATTGCGGGATGCGACTATGCCGGAGTTGTTGAAGAGGTTGGAAAGGCAGTGACCAACTACAAGGTTGGTGATCGTATTTGTGGATTTGTTCGTGGAGGTAAATAAGAATATCCTGATCTCGGAAGAAAATTGTCACTAACATGCCCTAGGTGACCCAGCAGATCACTCCAACGGTGCTTTCGCCGAACACATAAAGGTCAAAGAGGGCATCAACCTCAAGATCCCTGATAGCATGTCCTTTGAGGATGCTGCAACCTTGGGCATTGGGATCACTACCGTAGGACAGGGACTGTACCAGGAGCTCGGTCTACCAATCCCCCCAGCCAAGGTGGAGGAGCCTACGCCCATCCTGATTTATGGTGCTTCTACCGCAACCGGTACGCTTGCCGTCCAGTTTGCAAAGCTCTCAGGTTACGAGGTCCTTGCTACATCCTCTCCCCGTAACTTTGATCTTCTCCGTAAACTCGGTGCCGACCATGTCTTCGACTACAACGAGCCCAACGTCGGAGCCAAAATCCGCGAAGCAACCAACGACAAGCTCAAATTGGTCTTCGACTGCATTGCCGAGGGAAACTCTTTCAACATCACGGCCGAGGCTATCAGCTCCACCGGCGGCCACATGTCCGGTCTCCTACCTACCAACAACTACCCGAGGGACGATGTGAAAGCAGTCTGGACGCTCGGCTACACGGCGCTTGGTGAGAGGTTCAACGAGAGGCTCGATGCTAAGCCAGAAGACTACGAGTTTGGTGTTAAGTTCTGGAAGCGAGCACAGGAGTTGATCGAGAGCGGTAAGATCAAGCCACACCCAGTTAAGGTGGAGGATGGCTTGGCTGGTGTCCCCCAGGGCTTGCTGGACTTGAAGGATGGAAAGGTTTCCGGCGTGAAGCTCGTGTACAAGGTCGAGTGAAGTATGTAGGCTGTACTTGTAAGATTTTGACGATTGCTCAATGTAATGCTGTACTATTGGACAATATTAGGTATTTCATGCTAAACCTATTTAACGATTGAATGGATCTGTATGTCGTTTGCACATCGGGACAATAGCATCATGGATACTATGAGCGGTCTGCAGCATAGTAATTGCACATCGGCTTCGGATATAATAAGAAGCGAGGTAGATATAGTAACCGTGTGGATGAGAAATGCTCCCGGGATTATCCTCAAAGCAGTACCACCAATCAAGCTCCGTTCAGCCCACACGTGTGTGGGGAAAAGCGTACTTGCATTTACCCCGCCCGTCATCGCCAAAGGGTACCTATAAGCTTGCGGCTCCTAGATTCGACTTGCCCGTTCAAGTGTTCTGCAGCAATGCTGCAAAGATGAAGACATGCGGCATGTCGATGACACGCTTGACCATTTGATAGGGTGATGGCGTATTCAGCTAATCAGAGTCTCGCGTTGCAACATGTGCAATTGCGATCCACAGGCACCGTAATTCACGCTGGAAATAGGGCATTTGTGATTGGTTCGCTGCGGTGACATTGTATTGTTGAATGTACGCTGTGAACGTGTGGAGCCTAGTGTATCGTCATACATGTCTACGAGGACTAAAGCGTGCATACAAGCATGCAAGTATTGAAAACGTCAAAGGCCATTGACAATTTATAAACACCTTGATACCCGGTATTCTTTCACATAAGTCAGAGCAAACAAGCTCCTTGAGTTCACAAGATGCTCTCGGTCCTACTTGCAGCTGTTCCATTGGCTTCGCTTGTCTGTGCATCCTTTGATGGCAACTTGAACTACCATTCGCCTTCTCGCCGGCACAATGATCTTGGAATAGATGTACCCAAGGTCGCAAAGAGAACTCTTTCCAAGCGCTCTGCTCCATGGGATCCTGCTCAGCTAAACTTCACACACGGTGTTGCCTCTGGAGATCCCTATCCTGACTCGGTCATCCTCTGGACTCGTATTGCGCCATCGCTCGAACATGATAAATCAAATGTCACGGTTTCTGGCTATGTAGCGCTCTACAGCCATGAGACAGAAAAGTACATCCAAGCTTCGCCAAATCCCATCTGCGTCGACTATCGTGTTGGTACCGACAGCGATTTCTCAACTGTTGTTGATGAAGGGCAAGCATACACCACATCTGACATCGACTACACTGTCAAGGTTATTCTCATACGCCACTCCCACTAAGATAGAAGCTAACTCCATGAAGGTTGAAGCCAAAAACTTGGAGCCATTCACCCAATACTACTATCAATTCAATGTTTGCGGCAGCTCCAACAAAAGTCCTCTAGGCAGGACTAAAACCAGCCCTGATCATGATGACGATGTCTCCAAAGTCGGACTTGCAGTATTCTCCTGCTCCAATTGGCAGAATGGATATTTCAATGCTTATGGTAACGCTGCCAGAAAGGACAAAGTAGACTTCTTTGTAAGACTAACCTAACACTTTTCATGTAAACCTGGCTGATGCAAAACTCAAGGTCCACCTAGGCGATTACATATACGAGTCTACTAAAGGCAAGCTCTGCAAAGATCCTAGAGCAACAAATCCTCCACGTGAGATTGTCACACTATACGGTCAGTACCTGTACTTTGTCAAATATTGATCGCATCTGATACACTTAGTAGACTATCGAATTAGAATTGGCCAGTACCGTACAGATGACGACTTGAAGCTTGCTCATCAAAACTTTGCATGGATTCCTACATGGGATGACCATGGTATGTTAAACTACTCTGTGAACTGTACTTTTCTGACTCCTTTTAAGAAATTGCCAACAACGGATACCGTGACGGATTCAGGTAAGAAAATGTGGGTTGTTTTAGAGTATCTACTAATACAAGTAGCAATATGAATAACACCGAAGAGAGTTTCTTGAAGTACGGAGGCATCAGCGTCGATTCCAGGAAAATGAACGCCGTCCGAGCTTACTTTGAATGGATGCCGTAAGTCTCACAACGCACCATTTTTGGACATAACTAACAAGGAGAATAGGATCCGCCAGGTAGATCTGGATGACAACCTCCGCATTTGGCGCAACTTCAAGATGGGCAAACTGTTCGACCTCATCATCCTTGATACTCGCAACTACGATCGGTCAATCACCACCCTGGACGAGAACGATGCCTACATCGAGGAAATCAGAGACGATGCTAGTCGCTCGCTCATGGGCAGTCGTCAGGAAAATTGGTTCTACAACCAGCTCTCCGAGTCACATGAACGAGGCGCTACTTGGAGGATTGTCGGTAACCAAATTATCTTTTCGCGGATGAACAACAGTGCGGTCTACAGCAACTGGCTGAATGCTGATCAGTGGGATGTAAGTATCGGATTTGCACGATGACCAGGAAACGCTGCTGACTTTGACGAGGGTTACACCGCAAACCGTAACCGTACACTACACCACCTCTACAGTAACAAGATCCCAAACACTGCGTTCTTAGCCGGTGATTCACACGCCAACTGGGTGTCTGATCTCGTTTGGCTCGACGAAACTCCTTACGATCAGGCTACGGGAGAGGGTGCGATTGGAGTCGAGTTTGCTGGCACTGCTGTTTCTTCTAGCGGTTATGGCTCTGGAAGATCAATTGCGAATTCGAGTGACCGCTCTGCAGCGCTTGTTCGCGATAACAGGGAGCTTCAGTGGACAGAGGGCTATTATCGAGGATACTACGAGCTTTTCATCTCGCCCGAAGAGCTCAACGCGCAGTACTACGGTAAGTCATGTAATCAATCTCTGTTCGTCCTAAACGTTGTTCTTTGCTGATCCTTCACAGGCTCTCCTTCAGTCGCTTCTCGCAACCCTTTCGACATTAGTCTCGCCAACTTCACTGTTAAGGCGGGCGCTAACCACCTGGCGAGGACCAATGGCTCGGTTGTGGCAGCGGGCGGATACGTTGAGAGCGGCGCGCTGCAGCGTGGGCCAACGACTCCATCGAATCTGACTCTGAACACCATTACTGGCACGTGGAACATTACCGGTATCGAGCAAATGTTCATCAAATATTCTTGAAACGTAGTTGTATCTGAAAACAGGTTGATAGGCCGGCTGCAAGTACGGTGCTCGGCGTGGCTTACGCCCGTCAGCACCTTAACTTCGCGATAGATAATAAACATGACGAGCAACCAAGAAGAAACATCTTGTGTTCTTCTTAAACTTTGCATCTTCTTGAAGTCACTGCGTAGAACCTTCCAAGGACGTGGGCACACACACAAGTACGCATGAATAGGGAAAACCAATCTCTGGGAGGCGTATTGGCCCGTTTTGCAGCTCGTTTGATAGTAGCTGCTCTACAAACAAACTAATCGCTGTGGTGATGGCGATGGCTCACCGGGTCCAGCGCGCGCAGCACTGGTAAAGAAGCGCACATCCAGCGGCGAAATACCAGCTGAATGGCGCCGCCGCGAACCCCGCCCTGGACTGAATTGATATGACGCACCTCTATCGGGTTCGGACTAAGTATAAAGTCCACCAGGACAGCGCCTCGGCAAATCGCATTCAGCTCACCCCAACCTCTCCGTATCAGCCAAAAGTCTAGCAAAAATGGCTGCCACAATGAAAGCCTGGCAGTACAACAGTACGAACGGTGGTATCGAGAAGAACCTTCAGATCAACGAATCCGCACCACTACCCTTCCTCCACGATGAACAAATCCTCGTCCAAGTCCACGCCATGGCACTGAACCCCGTCGATTACAAAGTCACCGAAGGCCCCATGCCCCTTCGATTCGTGGGATCCAACATCACCCCGGGCGCCGATTTCTGCGGCACAGTCGCAAAAGTCGGCCGAAAAGTCGACGAGTTCCAAATCGGCGAATTCGTCTTTGGCGCAAAAGTCGGCGCGCTGACTGGCGGAACCCTCGCTCAATATGTAGTCGTAGAACGGACCATGCTCGCTGTGCTACCCGAAGGCGTGAAAGTTGAGGAAGCGGCGGGCGTCGGTATCGTTGGGCTGACAGAGTACGTTTGTTTAGTTTTATTTGCTTATTTTTTTTAAAGAAATGACGCAATGAGATATATATGGGTTAACATGGACCCTGTATAGATACCAGGCGCTTGTGCCACACGTCAAGAGCGGTGACAAAGTCTTTATCAACGGCGGCTCAGGCGGCACTGGTGTCTTTGGTGTTCAAATCGCTAAAGCGCTGGGCTGCCATGTTACCACCAGTTGCTCGACTCCCAACGTTGAGTTTTGCAAGGGCCTGGGTGCAGATGAAATCATAGACTACAAGACTACGGATATCATTGAGGCGCTCTCTGCCAAAGGCCAGGTCTTTAGCGCCGTGGTGGATAATGTCGGTTCGCCTGCCAATTTATACAAAGCGGCATCTGCTTTCCTCCTCCCCAAGGGCAAATTCTTGCAGGTCGGGGTGGAGAATAGTCTTGGTGGTGTAAAGACGTTGACGGGAAATATGCTACTACCAAGTTTCCTGGGTGGCGGCAAGAACTCCTTTCACATAATTATGGCTAAGCCGTCGGCGGAGCAATTGAGGCACATGGCCGAGTGGCTTAAGAAGGGCTCGTTGAAGCCGATTGTGGATACGGTGTTTGAGTGGGAAGATGCGCCCAAGGCTTTTGAGAAGCTGAAGACGGGAAGGGCGAAAGGAAAGATTGTGATTAAGGTTCCACAAGATAAATCGAAGGATAAGGCGGCGTGTGAGTCTTCGTAGGGATGAAGAGGGTTGGTGGAATTTTCTGGTTTTCTCTACTATTTTGGATGGATACAGCAAAACTCCTCACACATTCTGAGGATCATTCCCATGGGTTCACGATTTGTTCATCGATCATGTTTCCACCATGTGGTCTGGACCATAACAACCTTAAGCGGAGACATATAGGTTAAAGTCAAACTATACTAGCGTACAGCCACCAATTCACATATCGAGAAGGTCTGGTTGGAAAGCGTTTGAGGCGAGCATGGGGATGAAACCCATACAGCAACAACCCCTGATGGAAGCTTGGCAACGTCCTCGCATCCCGACAACATTACATTCAATCCCCCCAGACTCTCGTTTTTTTAAGCTTTTCCTTCGTTCCATGGCACAATGTCTTTGTTTTCTCGGCACTTGATCCTTATCGCGTCGTCGGCTCTTTTTCTTTTGTTCATCGCAATATCGTTAGCGACGGCTATCCAGATTCGCGGTATATCGCCGCAGATCGTACAGATTAGCTCTGCGCAGGCTGCTAAGATTGGGGATGATGAAGACGTGGTGGCGGCCAAGGCGCTGCTGAATGGCACGGAATTTGATCGGGGAGATGTGTTTAATGGGAGCAGCGTTATATCTGGATTGCCGCTTGCATCTACTCTCATGACGATGACGTTGGGGTCCACTGACACTGCGAAAACACTTGTGTCATCTACTTTGGATAAAGCCATTCCGTCTACTGCTACAGTAAAAACGACTGTATCCACTGTCCTGACGAAAACGCTCGGTTCCACTACTTTGACCACGACCCTCGTATTCACCACTACCGTAGCGAAATCGCGCATATCCACTACTACTACAACGGAAGAAGGCGTACCCACCCTCATGACTGAAACAGCAGAAGGTGTAATCGGGTTCACCCCAGAACCCCAAAGCAGCGCCAACTGGGACGCCGAGGGCGTCTTAGGCCCCAAACCCACACCTACACCATCCCGAGTTCCAGCCCCCAAACCCGCTGCTCCCCCCGCCCCGCAACTCCCCATCCTCGCCCTCACCTACTCCGGCTCTGGCGGCCCCAAACACTGCCGCGGCAAACTCCTCAAAAAATCGTACTTCCCGCCTCCCCTGGAAAAGTGGAAGAACGGAACTTGCATCAACCTACCCGGCGAAGCGCGCTGTGGCGTGTTTTTCTCGAACAAAGGGGATAATTGCGAGGCGCAGCTATTCAATGAGGGGGATTGCTTGAATACCACGAGTACGTATATCAATACTGTGGTTTTTATGCCAGAAGAGAGGCCTGTGGGTGCGCTTTGGAGGAGTATGTTTGTCCGGTGTGGGGTAGAGGTGCCGGAGACGAAGATGTTGGATCCGAGTATTCTTGGGGGTGCGCTGAAGAGACCCGGTGGTGGTCATGGTTGAAAAGGGATTTGGGATTTCTGGAATCGTGTTGTTAAGAGTTTGGGTATTGGATTCGAGAACTGCCCCTTGAAGTGTGCGAGACGTGTGGAATGATATCTCGGCCGTATCCCGATTGCTGGATGGAACCCAAGATGCCAGAGGGATAATTTTCTACGTTTTTTCCAAGAAAGAAGATGTTCATGCGGTAACCGGATAACAGCAACAAAGCGGCCGTATACGACAGCAGCATTGCGACTCTATCCACACTGCGCTTGGAACTGCGGGTTGGCTAAACAGCGGCCTGGATTTGACTGGTAGACGTCGATGGTGTCAGCGACCGAATTATGCTCCAATTTTCCAAGGAGAGAGCTTCAATTGAGTACCATGGGAAGACAGATGGATTGACGATGGAAAAGAATGGGTTCGCGCAAGGCAGTCCATGTTCTCTATATTCGCCACTGAAGCTTCACCGGGGCTTAGGCTTGACCTACCTTTTTTCGTGAAACATACCTATTCTGGACTTGATGAGCCACAATTACAACGAATACCAAACTACTTTTTTTTCGTTCTATGGCAAGGATCAACGCGGGTGAGCTTATCAGGTGGGGTACGAAAATGTAGAGAACATCAAACGGCGCCCGTAAATAGATACCACAGCACGTCGCTAATACGCGCTTGAGCCGCGGCGGCTCTTCGGAAAACAAGATTGTTCTACTATTGGCGATACGAACGCCTTGCCAATGTGCGGCCCACAGCGTCAGGCTCTTTTTCCAACGGCACTGCCGTTAAGGCCCCCTGCCGATCGCCCAAGTACGAGTTGAACAGCACATTACGACTGTTGCCTAATTGAAATATACCTAAGGACATCAATTCTCCGACACCACCGGATACATTCCTTACTTTTTTCCCCTAAAGAAAGGGATGCAAAGTCTTGTAAACACCTAGAGACCAAATTATTTTCTCACTCAGCCAGTCTCTACATATATCACGCGCGCGCTCCACACTTTCGACTCTCCAGCCCAACGAATTCCTAGATCATTCACAAAATAGCAGGTGCCATGTTGAACTTTACATTCTTTACGTTATCAACCTACCACGCCCTCCGTGCCATCTCGGTCGCCACTTTCCCACCCGGCTTCCTCATTCTGTTCCTCCAGGGTATCCTCTCGCGATGCGTCAATCCCGCCATCGGCATTATTCCCTTCTTCTTCTCTGCAGCTTACTCCGCCTTGATACTTGCGAATGAGAAAATTTGCGGATGTCAATCTAGTGTGTTAACAGGGACACTGATGCATTTGGTTTCTGACCTCCTACTTGGCATTGCGCTACTAGCGTGCCTGATCTTGTAAGAAACGAGTTCATCTAATTGAGGAGTCTTGACTGACTATGACGTTTCCAGAGATTGGGTATTCATCCCGCAGGGAGGGACTGACAGAGGCCTGGTTATGCTGGGCACGTATGGGACTACCTTTCTTATTTGCAACCTGCAAGTCTTTAGGGTGACATTGATCTCATAATAAGGGATACTAATGTGCTTTAGTTTGATACACTTTTACTTTGCCATCAACCGGATCGTCGAAGAGCTCCAGCCGGGTACCTATTATCCAACTTCATGCCCGCAGTGTCAGGGTAAATCTTTTTCGTTTAGGATGTACAAGCTTAATTCGGAAATATTTAGTGGCTATGCATCGCTGCTAGATGGAGAGGGTCGGCCCAAAAACGGTGCAAGACTAGCGGTAGTGGGTGAGGGCGGGTCTGCAGTGTAAATGAATGTGCTTGACCGGCGACGCTGAGTGGCTTCGATCGGGAGAAAGAAGGCCGTAGTAATGAATACACCTGGCCATATATCAAGCAAATTTGAATCGATGTTTCGGAATCTAAACCATCTTCACAACATGGATTGCAAGCCTAGGGGTCTCCTCAGGATAGGTACCAGTCATTGTACAGATATTGTCTGGATCGGAAGTTTTCTTGGTTATATTCTTGGAGATTCAAGTATCTGTAAGTCTGAGGTTTCTGCTGTTGACAATCTCAGCTGATGTGCTAACGGTTACTTAGAGGCCGAACTCTTTAGTCTGCATCTTCTTCCTGATTGGATGACTCAATAGCACGTTGGTTGGTTCGAAGTATTGCGAGTTGGGGTGGTACTGCTCATTCGAATAGTAGGTCGGATCGATAGTGAAAAGTCCCGCGACCAATTTTCTCCGGTCTCTCTTACGGACCGTCGGTAAACACTTTGCACTTACCGCAAGCGGTGTCACGATGCCCAGCCCGGATAACCAGCCGCAGGCCGCGGGGTGTCCAAATTAAGCAGCTGCTAGCCGAAAGTCTTTTTCCACGTCAACAGGACAATCTGCCCCTCATTCCTTCACTTCACTTACACGCAGCCACCCGTACACAAAGGAGGAAACACGAAGCAAAAAATCACCACCAATGTCAGAAATGCCTTTACGACCTCCATCCACAAGACAGCGCCACGATTATCAACTAGCCATGGGGGGACGAGTAACCTGAGTCCACCAAGCAGCCAAGCTTGTTCACCACGTCGTGATATGCATTCCTGTCAGAACCAGATCTTACACCCAACCTAGTCCAAATGGTATTCTTCGGTTGCAGCGTTTCGATCGCTCTCTTTACATGCAGAGTCCTTTGCTACCGCTTGGGATGGCAAGTTGAAGATGCCTGATTGGACAATACATGTGCATCTCGTTTACAGATGCTTCAAGGTTATCAGGCGAAGGTAGCGGGAAAACTGCTTTTTTCCTACCAACATGATTTTTGAATAGAGACAACGGGATTGATACATTAGACGCGCCATTCCTGAACTACCTCCCATCTTGGTTTTACTCGCAACGGAACGTATCGCAGACCTGGAAATACTTACAAATGGAGTCGGTCCCTGCGTGCGAAGTCTGTCTTCTCCATGCCAAACACAGGTCTCAACATACATTTTGAATTCTCTTAGTCGTCGGTTGTCTGATATATGTGGTCATGAGGGGTCTCCATAAACATCCTCATTTCCCTCATCACAAGTGCTGTCGCAACAATTTCCCAGGATGTTTTCGAGCCAGCTGATTTCAACGTTACAAAAGCACGTGTTGATAGCGGCTTCAATGTGTCCGCCATACCAGGGCTATCCAACTTAGTCGAACCGTCTTTGCTGGAAGGCTGTTCGATCGCCGTGAGTTAATTCCCTATCTTGCGTCAGATACTGGCTAACACTACCGACAGTGGGGTTCCCTGAAATTCGTCTTTGGAGACTCGAAGCTGTCACAAGAAGCTCCAACAACGTACTGGTCACAACAGCAGCTTAGTGTAAAGCCCCGTTGCACATTCATTCCAACAGTAGCCTTTGAGATGTCGACTCTAGTTTCACTTTCACGCCTGAAGCAGTGTTCATTTGCGATCAAAATCGGGGGACATGCTGCGTTTCCTGCATCGAGTATTGAGGGCGGTATTACGGTCGATCTGGTGGAAAAAAAACAAGCTCGTGCTATCTGCTGACAATAAAACTCTTGCTGTCGGTTCCGGTAACCACTGGAAAAGCATCTACGACTACCTCGCTCTCAGCAATCTTGCAGTGGTCGGTGGACGCGTAAGTCACTCAACATATCAGCCAATCACGTGATTGACAACCTCAACAGGCTTCGACAATCGGAGTAGGTGGTCTCACGCTCGGCGGTGCCATCACTCACCACACTAACAAGTATGGTCTAGCATGCTACAGCGTCGCATCGTACGAGATAATTTCTGCATCTGGAGCCATTGTTACCGTCAGCGAACAAACGTACCCTGACCTATACTTGGCTCTCTGCAGCGGCGGTAATAACTTTGGTATCATTACGACCTTCAATTACGAAATCTTTCCCCAATGTCTCATGTTTCCTAGCAAACGCCAATATAGCGCCACCCACATCCCCGCACTATTCGACGCTTTTGGAAACACGGTTCAGGACGCCGAGGTGGATACAAAGGCCGCGCACACTTTGTCGCCGTCGCGTACAGTTCGGGATACAGGATTGCGCCTGCAGAGTAGGAATACTTTGATCCGGTTGACGTGTCGAATCCACCGGACATTCTCAACGACTATGTTTCGATCCCTGCTCTTAATGAAGCCACCAAGAATACCACATTGGCCGAGATTACGTTGGGGCTGACTGAGAGCATGCCGGCCGGCTTACGCAAAACGATGTGGTCGCAATTGTTCAAAGTCAATACGGAGCTAGTAATGAAATGGATGAGTAACCACTTTTTTCGAAATCGTCCCTAAGTTTTCCGGTGGCGGCGCCTCTTCGATCGCCTTCCAAGCTTTTACCAAGCCCGCACTGAGGGCCATGCAGAGGAAGGGCGGCAATGCGCTGGGTCTGCGCCCGGACGATGGGCCCTTCTTCCGTGTCGTGCTCTACCTGGCCTGGACGGACGAGAAGGACGACAAGACCATATACAAGGCGGCACAGGACTTTCTGGCCGCGTCGACAGCAGAAAGCCAAGCAGCTGAGTGCATACAACGATTACATGTACATGGTGTACGGCAGCCCGTACCAGCCCGTTATATCCGGCTACGGAGCTGACAGCGTGGCAAGACTAAACAAGGTCTCGAGCAAGTACGATCCCAAGGGTGTGTTCCAGACGTTGCAACCGACATCGTTCAAACTCAATGGGGAAGCCCCATTTGGCGCCGTCGTCGCCATATAAGCATAAGTGGGGTTTGGGTATGTGATTCGTTTGCTTTTGCAGTACGACATCGATGTTTCGATCGCGGCCGAGCACGATAGCGCACACGGTCTCCCCTCCTTCCTCAAATAAGTCATGTACCATGCAGGTGTGTCCGGTTTCCACTTGTACTTTATACATATGTACTACAGAGATATGTACATATGCGGGCGGCCCATATCATTATCAGCAATCATATTGCCAGCTCAGTGGACATTTCACTATCTCTCCAAGCTAGCAACATGTACGCCATTTTTTCCCCGTCCGGCCCACCCTGCTTCTCCACCCCCTTGCCTCCCTACGCGCTACGCGCTGCCCGTGATTGCCCAAAAGGCCATATCCTCTTTCTCCTCTCGTCTTACTCTGCATACGCGAATCCTTGCTCTGGATACATTATCATGCAGCCAAAGCATTCTCCACCACGCTCTAGACTTTGCTGTTTGCGTTGTCTCACGCGCATATATAATACATATGTACATGGAAAGTGGACATGGGGGGAGGGGGGCTAAATATTGTAACAATATGTACCTATTAATCCAATACAACGGTACTGGTCTCTTTTTTCTGCCACTTTTGCTAATGCAACCCAAGACCTTTTTTTGCAGAAAACCCCACCCCCAGGGCGCATACGCCCCCCCCCGTCCTGCTACGCGCTGGTTGGAGATTTAGAGTTCGTAGAGTATGCACTTTGGTATGCGGGTTGAGAAGGGGGAGGGGGCGAGAGGAGGGGGGGGGAAGTGACCGGAAGGGCAAGGCGGGAATGACACGTACATAGATAACAGTACCGATGTACTCTAGTCTGGCCAGAGATGAGGAGATGGTGGTGGGAAGGTGGCAGTGGCAGTGGCAGTGGTGGTGGGAGGTGGAGAAGCGGTGAAGCCAGGGCTTGTTGTGCTGAGTCAGTTGCCGCTGGGGTGCATAAATGTGACATGTACATGTATGGAGATGTGCAAGATGGTATGCATATGTCGCACAAGGTGAACACCTTGTTCAGTGTAGCCTTTTTGGTCCGTTGTCTTGTCTGGCCTGAAATGTGAAATCGTGGTGTGGCTGTGCTGTTGTTGTGTCCCATGTGTGCATAACATACATGAGAACAAAAATAAAGAATGCATGTTCGCTAATGGAAATTCTCCGAAGCATGTCGCACTAAGCCAGTAGTATAGTATCGTGATGTTAGGGGAAAAAAGGTCTCTATATTTTTTTTTGGTTGGTTGTAAAAAGGTAGAAAACAAAAAAGGCTAAAGTAAAATCCGGATATTTTTCGCTAGTCGCTCGTCGCTATGCATGGTTGCAATTGAATGCTTTGTCGCTCTTTCTAGAATGTGACGTTGGGAATCCCAGTAACAGGCTTTACAAGAAACAGAAAAAAACAGTTAGCAAGAACGCCTGATTTTCCGACCCTCCATATGTGCAAGTTGGTTATCTATCATTAGTGTCGTAGCAATTCGATTGTTGCTTGTCTTCTTTCCATCTTCTTTAGTATCGATTTATTTTAGACGTGCATGGTGTATGTGATGATTATCTTCGTCGTAGGTTGCATCTAGTTCACTGGAAGTTTCCAGATGTGTCGCTACTGAGAAGGTGTAGTATCTCAGTGTGTGTCGGTGTGACACTTGTTCAAGCTTCGTTTGTCGGGCTTGCAGGGTTGGAGCAGTTGGGCGTCTCCGGAGCAGAGTAAGTCTGGGTGATGGGCTCGCAGATGTTGCGGTGCGTCTTCCAGTCCGACTTTTGGCAGTTGCGGTCGCAGTAATATGCTGCCTTGCAGCGAGAGCAGCGACGTCGTGCGTGCTGACCAGAGCATGTGGTGCAAGCTATCATGTGTTAGTAAATTGTTGCTGGTACCAGGGTGATATAATCATGTCGTGGTGTTAGGCCTCAAAAGCGGCCCCAATGTGAGTGGGTAAAGTGGAGCACCACATGGGCGCTAATGCAGTGCAGCGAATCAAATCGGGCTCCTGCGTCCCACCCATATGGAAATTGGAGATTGAACATATAACAACTTACGTTTGCTGGTCAGCGCACCGTTAAGACTCTCGGTGCTGGCCATGGGGCGCAGAGAGCGGAAGAGATCCGCACGATTGAAGGCTGGCGGAGGGGAGGTTGAGGTTGAAACGGATTGCGGTGTGAGAGAGCCGTTAGAGGTGCTTCTTGGGATGTCTGGCAAAAAAAAAGTTAATATTAACATGAAATGAAATCGCTGAAGCGCGCGAAGGTGTCTGGCAGGAAAACATACCACCCATTGCACTATCTCGTCTTTCCAACATGGGGTTTCTGGTGTTCACCGCTCCATTGCCTTCGCCAAGACTGTGCGTAAACACGTTCAAACAGACGCTTCGTGGCGGCATTTCCTTGCTCTTTTGGGGGAGGTTTGTTATTTTCCGGGACAGTTGGGTTGAGTTTGAAGGGATTTCAGGAGAAGAAGGGAATACTGGTATTTCAAGCAAAATCTGTCGCTGCTGAAAGTTTCGGTGAAAAGCGGTGTGAGGTGTGAGAGCACAGATCGCAAACTAGCCCAGGAACAGGCTAAGGCTTACCGAGCGCTGAAACGCGCGGTCAGGTGTCTCAGCCTTGAGTGATTCGATTTGGGCGTATGAAGTTTGAGAATGTAAATTTGCGCTGCTTTTTCTCGCAAAAGAGCGTGGTTGTTGAGGTGCTAGGGGCTTCGGAGGCGTTGTGCCATATTGCAAGTTGCGCGCAGTCTGGGACCCGCGATTGGGGGATCTGTAAAACAAATCTCCGAGTGCGTGGCATGTTGCTTGCAATGGGGGTTTCCAGCAGCATGATGCAACTGGAAAAGGAAACGGTGAGACCGCCAGATTGTGGGGTAGTCAGCCGCTGACCGACCTCGTGGCAACTGGGCCCATACGGGTAAGCACAGCTGAAAATACATTGACTGTTCGCCGCCAGTTCGACAACAGTACAGCGACAGCGACAACGACTGCTTTGCGATGGAAATCTCCTATCGCAGCCATGGAAGTGCCGGTGACGAAACAAGGCGTGCTATTGGGCTGTTGGTAAACTTACAACCCCGCATCGCCCTAGACAGCGCCGGCAAAAGCCCCCCCCAAGCATAGTTAGGGGGGCATGTAGCGATTTGCGGTCAACGGTGAGTGATGACTCCTGGTGTTGGATGTTTGCAGTAGATGAGTAGCTTAGCTGATGGCCAAGTAACCGGTGAACCAAAGGAGCTCCGCAGCTTACATATGTTGAAGAACAGCGAGATGCGCAGGTGAACGTAATCAGGGAAGGCAACCAGAAGACCTCAACAGGCACCAAGGTGCACGGGTGGCGCCACAGCCGCTGATGTAGAAACTTGGACCTACACCTAGTGAAGGCATGGTGGTGGTAGTGGTGGTGGTGTGCGGACATGATACGGCGCGTCACGTGACATGTGTTGAAAAAAAGGGCGCCCCAATGTAGTAGTAGCACTCACTGACTTAATTCTACCCACTAGCCCCTGGATTTGCTGATTAATCAAACCAGGCGCAGTCGACTATATGTAAGTAGTTTGCGATAAACGTAGGTGTGGATGTCGATAGCAAAGGGCATAAGGGCCCGTTGAGATGGGGATGGTTCGCAGTTCAGCTGGGATTGCGCAGTTGCTGCCTAGCCATTGCGCAACCTTGATAGGGCTGCCTGCTCGGGAGGCTGCAGATCTGCCTGGTGGACCACATGACGATGCAATGTCTGGGGAAAGCTACACCTAGAGAAGGCATTCTCCTGAGGGGCTTGGCCGGCACAACGGCTCGGAAACGGCGTGCTAGGTACACAGCCTCCAAACATCAGTCGATTGACCTGGAGTTTGGAATTCTTAGTCCACTCTAGGTGTAGGGCGTATGATTGATGATGATGTAAGGAGGCTCTGCTGGCGCCACGGTGTGGCGTCATTGTCGGAAGCCGGATATGGACGGTCATCAGCAGGCACGCATCCAAAGACGTGGGCGAGGGTGTTTACAGAGCAAGAGGGCTAGTGGAAGCAGCAAACCAAGTCACGATGGCATTTTGCAGTGTAGATTAGCTGCATTGTGTGGCTGCGCAGTGGTTCGCATGGAGCGCAGTTCGCTAGCATGCATCTGTCAACGGGTATTGTGGGTGGATGGCTGCGCTAAGAGGCTTGCAATGCCAGCTAGGAGCTCGTATACAGAGTAGTCATTCGAAGAGATTGGCCAGGGTCGAGATGGGAGGGACGGGTGCTGCTCGCGCTGCGCCTCACGTACGGGGCGAGCCGACGAGCAAAGAGAAAACAGAGTCACAGGGCGAAGCAAACGAACTACGCCCGTGCCAAATTGGGCAGCTTCTGACTGTTAGGAGTCACGCATGGCAGAATTGTGCGGGCGAGTGTGCGCAAAGGGAGTGTGAATTGAAAATGGGGGTGATTGGATGAGAAGAGCCAGACGAGTTTTTTACTGTTTCGTGTCGCTGACGGAGACGAGTGCCAGGCAGAGTCGTTAGGTGCCACGTCCGGGTGGGCCGGCGGGCGAACTGCTCTCTGGCTGCCAGCAGGGCGGGAGGTGTCGAGTGAGCAGAGGGGCCCAATTGTGAAGGACTGTGGGGCAGCAAAAATCCGGTGAGACAAGACCAGCAAGGCCAGAGGCGCCATAGGCTGGGTAGCGCCATGCACGTCGCTGTCGCCCGCCGGCACCTGTGGAAATGGCAGGGTGCGCTGATGACTCCCTTCACGACACGCAGCAATGGCTCCATCTCTGGGCGCCCTTGAGCGGCTCTGGTGGTACGTCGACAAAGGCACTGCGGGAGCCACGCCTGCTTTTTGGCCTTTGCAACCACTGTCGTGGCTGGTGATGAGCCGGCGGCTCGAGGCACGGTACCGCCGTCCGGTGTGTCAAGGAAGACGACCAGCACCGCGGGGACATGATGAGGCCACCATGGCAGAGGGCAGAGGGCAGAGGGCAGCGGGCAGCGGACAGCTCGGCCCAACTGCGCAGCGAGGAGCGAGGAGCGAGGGCTGGATGTACGCATCATACTTGCACATGTTGACTTTTTTGCACAAAACCAAACAGCCACAGCTGGAAGGGGTGCGTTGAGACGCAGGCCGGACAAGGTGCAGTAGCTGTGGCTGTGGCTGTGATTGTACCCCCGGCAGTCAGCTATCCGCCCGCTAGACCCCAAGAGGCGTGGCGGAGGTGGCTGGTGCCTCGAGAAACAGGCAGCGACAGGGGCCTGCAAGCCATAGGGCGCAGCTCTCACGCCCGTCACCACCATCCCAAACTGTTACACCACCACCACCACCACCCACCGTCCAAAAACAGCAGTCGACGAGCCTCTGTCCAAACCGCTGCAACTGGCTGCCCTGCTCGCCGCAACGCGTTTCAGGAGACGGTGCAGCGGCTGTTGATGCCCTCGCTGACCCCCTTTGCTCGCAGCAGCCACGCACAGCGACTAGGCCGCCAATCACACGGCCGGCTGGCTGCAACATTTCACTTTCTCTAACGTCGGCCCAAAACACGTTTCTAGCTGCAGTTCCCAAGAAATCACAGGCACAGTCGTCATCTTCGCACCCAAGCAGACGTGCAGTCACCGCCCTCACTAGCGCGCCATGGGCCCTGGTCGCTGCTGCTGCTAACACCACCCCTGCCCGATGGGCGCAGGCACCCCGGCTAGTCTCAGGCTTCCACCCACACCCAAGGCATGCGTCTACTGCGAGCGAGGATAGACATATAATTCCATGCTGCCCGCGCCCACCATGGCTCCTCATACCAAGCCCGCTACCAACAACTCGCCCGCACTCTGATCCGTTCAGCCGTCTACCATCTGTACTCGCCAGCCGAGTCCACCACGCCAACAACCCAACACCACCATACCATTGTCGCTCTCGTCCGAGAGTGACTTCATCGCTACCATATCGTACCTTGGCACAAACGTCACCACGGCTACCCCAAGGTCCATACTCAAGAAGCCGCCAACATCCTCCCCGGCAATGCCGTCTGCACGCACAAACATGCCTACGGCCGTCCACGCAAAGCCCGCCGTGGCCAAGAAGGAACGCGTGGTTGGCTTCTACGAAGACCCCGTCATCTCATTCTGCCGTCCTGTAAACACTTCCGAGAGCTGGGCTGCCTACCACTTTGAGATGCACGCCAGGAAGTGTGCTCACTGCCACAACGCCTACGAAGTCCACCGCAACCACGAGCGTCTCTGTGATGTCGGCCACGGCCTGGCCCAGGACGTCGCCCGCTACATCTACCACAAGTCTGGAGCCACCTACTCCACCATGGAGGAGAACAACAAGCTTGTCCGCGTCGAGATCCCAGCCGGTTACGTTGAAGTCTGCAGCCTCCTCAAGGCCATTGAGCGTAGCCTCCGCCACCGATCACGCAGGCCCTTTGTCTCCATGGACCGCAGCTACTACGTCGCTCCCCGCTCATCACCACCACCAACCTCCTCCTCTCCCCCACGACGAAGCAACACTGTCAAGGTTGAGCAAGAGCCCAAGGTCAAGTCCGCCCGACCACGAACCGACGACATTGTTGACTGGCCCGTCACCACCACCACCACCACCAAGGCAAAGCGTCCACTGTCTGAGATTAGCAACACCCCAAACTCCAAGCGCGGTTCCCTCTACGAGGAGGACCTGGCCAAGCAACGCCGCAACGCAAAGCACTACGCCGTTGAAGTCCGCGAGCCAACCAACCGGGACATCCGCGAGCAGCGCTCGTCTGGCTACTACCGATGAATGATGACCTAGGCATTCTCTTTGCGCTTTACGAAATACGATCTCATGATTGATACGACTTATTACGCCATCAGTCTCTTACTAAGAGCCTAGCGCCCGCCGCTACGTGCTCGACTTCCATGCGTGTGCGAGACGGGCGGAAGCTGCAAAAGCTCCGCGGCAGTCCGCACTACCACCACAGACCGATTCCTCATGTTTTTTGCACGCCTTGTTTTCGCGTTGCTTATCTACACATGCTGGCTGGGACGGCGAGGGAGGAGTGGAATGTACCATCGGGGAGGAAGATGCCTCCACCTTTACGGTGTTGAGGGTAATGGATTAATGCAGGGGGGGTTGATGGACCCTGGAATGATGCGATGGAAACGCCTAGATGACGCTGAAGGGCGGGGTTTGGGGACTTTGACACATGTACTATTTTAGCTAGCTATTAATGGAACAACATTGTTCGACACTTCACATCATTTCTTGCCATTATGGGGTGACTTTTTGCCACGGACTACTAAGGATAGTACAGGTGATGAATGACGGCCTTGGGGGCATTGAGTGCATCGTGGAGGGATTGCAAAGTGGAGCTGGCCCGCAGCAAAAATGGCAGAATGTGCGTGCCATGGGGGAGATTACGCTGCACCAAGCATCCATCTACTGAGACCCTCGACACACTCAAACATGGGCAACTAGCACACTATCACGGCTCCCACACCTCGGCTGCTCCCTTTGTACGTAGGCGTAGGCTGTTTCCTTTGCTTCGACTCACACATGGCCAATAGCACAGTGCCACCCCTTGTCTTATCGCTACCCATGCTACTATCATGTGGCCAGGAATATATTGATCGCCGGCGCCGATACGACCTGTGAACAGGTTTGCTGAAAAAGACCCTGACATTTTCTGCCCCGTGGCTCAGCACCCTCTCCATCATCGGAGGTGCCTTTTATTTTACGCTACCCTTCTTGGACACACCGGTATACCAAGACCTGCAGAGGGTGTGCGCGCGCACACGCACACATACCCGCTAGCTACTGCACGTAGACCCTCGTGCAAAAGGGCTGAATGCGCTTCTTCGCAAAGTATGGTATGGTTTGTGGAGTGATTGATGGCTGAATAATAGAGCCCGGCACGGTTGGCTCCCATGGCTCCCAAGACACAGAGGCAAAGATACGACATCATCACCAGCTTCAGCCGAGTCTTGAGCGTGCCGCCATGACGTCTTTGGGTGCTGAAGAGCCTTGTCGAGGGTAAGGGTATGGCGCGGAAGGATTGGTGATGCGGGGCAGGGCAGACGTCAGGGTCTCCGGCTCCCAAAAGTTGGCAACCGGTACCAGATCCAGTACCATCACCAACACTACAGTACGCATGTCAGCTTGGGGTCTCGTGGTCAAGGGGTTTCAATCTGAAACAAAATGGCCATGCGACGTAGTACAGTGCAATATCGCATAGCCAACTGCTACGTGGAGGGTGAAATGGGGATCGATGACAATGGTAACGATGGCAGAATGGCGTTGGTGTTGCGGGGTACGTACCGCCAGACACATGGTAAGGCGAGAGTGGCAAGAATGCGTAGTGTGCCGTCTGCCGTAGCCTTGGAAACGGACAAGCATGGCTCGCATTAATTATTGGCAACGTGCAAATCAGGAGCCTCACTTTTTTTTCTCAGGAGGGCATCAAAGGAGATAGATGTCCGTTTTTTTTCCACAACCCACGTTACGGAGATCGACCCCATTCGTATACGCGTCCACCGCGAAAAAGACCGACGATTATTACACCTGCTATTACTGGCATCATACATACGTCAGAGGACGGAGCGGGTATGTAATAGTTTGAATGTGTATATCGGGTGCCGTGTGTACCAGTGTGCAGTTTTACCGACCTGGGAGACAGAGAGGAACATCAAACGAGCAAGAGAACAAGAGAAATCGGGGGGGAAAGAAGGAACAGCGTTTCGCAATCGGGCTACGCGCAAACTCCCCCACCCTCAACATCTAGATTGCAATCTGGCACTTGATCGATATTCAGATGGTGATTCCAGAACAATTGGGCTCCACTGTAATTGTGCATGGACAGCTGTCACTCGATTGCGCGCTGCCATCTGCACCCCGTCTGGGATATTCCAGGCGCACATCGCCAAAACAACCGAGGGTATGCCAGACTCGGTTCCCTGAGTGTGTGTGTGTGTGTGTGTGTGTGTGTGTCCAAGTCAGCAAACCGTCCGTCTCTCGTTCTCGACATTGGCGGCCCAATCCCCCGGCCCAAAAAGCCTGACTTTACTGACATGATACTCACTAGCTAGTCAAGTTAAAAACTACTGTGTATACACAAATTCCCAGATGAATTTGTAAAAGTGGGGGCGCCACCCGCAGAAGCTCAAGCCCTCCCCCCCCCAAGGCAAAGTTTCCAATAATTCTCAACGAGAAACAAAACAAAAAAAGGACTCACGAAATCTAGCCCTTGGGTGTCCGCAGTCGGCAATGTTGTGCGTAGAAAATAGTGGTCTTTTGTGGAGTTTGACCGACATCCCTCCCCCCCCCCCGTCCCTCATCCGATTGTGCGTTGACAGGTTCCCACTTTTTTTCCCTTTGCAAATGCGGCTAAAGGAAAAAGAGCGAATGTAACAAAAAAGATTAGGGCCTGCATGCCAGAGGTGCAGTGCAGCATACATGCATGATGCATTTCGCAAGCCTCACCGGTCGAATCTTTTTGTGTGGGTTGGTAGTATATTTCCTTCTGGGGGACCCAGTGATTAACCACATACATACATGTGTACATATCAGTACCTGAGCCAAAGGGCCGCTGGGCGGACCCATCGGCCGTCTCCCCACAGCTCGCACCCGCAACTCCGAGACGGTCTCGATCGCCCTCCCCGTGTTATCGGGCGTCTCCGACCCTGCCGTTTCACCCAGCACAAAGCGAGGGAGGGAGGGAGAGAGAGAGAGCGCATTGCGCAAGCACACCATGCCAGCTCATCTCCCCGCACTGAACCAGGGCCCGCCTCTTTGGATTACCACCTTGCGCTCTGTTCAACCAACCCCCTTTTACTTTGCTTTGTTTCCCCCAAATGCCAGCGTGTCCACCCTTTTTCCGGCGTGATCGTCGAACCTTTACCCTCTCTCTCTCTGTCTCTCTCCTTTCGGTCCCCACCAAAAAAAGTATGATGCAGCCGCGCGCTGCTTTTACCCGCCCGAAGGTTTTTGAAACCGGCAAACACACGAACTGCTACCCTATCGTGATCTCTCACCCGACTTTTGTTACCCAACCCTAACTAGTAGGACCCATAACTTACTTACCTTACTCCACCCCTTGCTCGCTGCTCTGTCGCACTCTCTCTTTCCCCACACTCCGGTCATCATCATCCACGGGCAGAGCCCACCCAGAATATTGATCGACCCAATTTTTTCTGTCCTTCCCATCGGCTCACCCGTCTTGTCGTTCGAGACACGCCCGATGGTGACAGCTCCGGTGGCCCCTCCAATGCCGTTGAGATGTGTGTGTGTGTGCCAGCGTGTCGTGTCCCGTTTTCTTTCCACACGCGCACGCCCGTGCGGTGTATACTCTATGGTGTGTGTGTGTGTGTGTGTGTCTGTCTGTCTGCTTGGGCCTGGGTTCCTGGCCTAAGCTTTCGCAAACACACACACGCGCACACACCACACCCGTTACTAAGGACTGTAGTACGCTTGCAGCCCTGCCCAATGGGCCGCTAGATTTTTTTGATTTTTTTCCTTTCTTCACGGGCTACTAGGACTAGGAATGGGAATATTTGGGTGATGCGAATGATGCCCACTCACGCTAGAAAGTTTTGCTTAGCTGATGGGGTTGTCGTAGCTTTCCCGAGGTGAGATGGGTGGGTGCGAGGTTGGGTGTTGCAGGGCTGTGCCTGGATCAGGTACGTGGCAGAAAGGGTGCGTGCCATTGGGCCGTTATGGGAGGGAGGAGGGTGGTTGGGTTGGGTGGGAAGAGAGAGCGTGTTCGGTGGTCCGGTGTTTGTGGGGGGGCGTGTTGCGTGCAGCAGCAGCAGTGTGTTGTGCTTGTGCTTGTGCGTGTGCTTGTGCGTGTGCTTGTGCGTGTGCTTGATTGCTGTGTGGTGGGTTTGAGGCGCAGCATCGGGGGAGGGGCTCAGCCTCCACTTACTAGATTACCGTGTGGCTTGATCATTTTCTGGCGATATATCGCTCCTTTAAGCTGTGTAACGGGTATATTGGTAATCAGACGTCATGCGCACACACACATACACATATCCCCCTGGGGAAAGGAGGGGAGGCCTGATACAGGAACGAGAATATAGGATGCCATCTGATGTTGTGGGCGCCAGCCGTATATCTGGCCCCCAAACCCGATTCGCTTGGTTCTTGAAATAGTAGCTGATCTTTATGCGCACCACTCTTGTGGGCTTGGATACTTGAGTGCGCCAATTATGAGGGGATTTTCTGCCAGACGAGGATAACGACATCCTACAGCACGGTCTCAGATACGCGTCATGAGTAGCCCGAGGTTGGGTATACAAGAGTTTGTTGAGTGGCTGGAAGATGGCGGGTCTCAGCTCAGGGGGCTGTGGGTGTTGGGGAGTGAGACGGGGGCGAGGAGGGTGGTAGGCCTACGAGGAGGGTGATGGTAGGATAAGAATGGATGCAATGATTGTGTGTTTGTGCTTACGAGTGACTGTCTTGCCGGGTTGACAATATATTGGTCCAGCAACTTGTTTCATGCTCTTATTCGAGCGACTCTACGAAAACGATGTGGCTGGTCGGAAGACATGTAAGGCTAGATCTTGGGCAGTGTGATATATTCTGTTGAATGGAGTAAGTGATGACGCTGATGCTAATAGAGTAGTATTATGTCTGGGTGTAGCATTGCGAGTAGTTAACACGGTGCTTCCGGTTTGATATGTGGAGTGCGTATACGACATGTCCTCTACCGTGAACGAATTAAAACAACTCCTATACACAGCAAAGCTGACAGACACTCCTGAATCTTCTTCCATCACATTATGCATGCGGCTTCCGTGTTATGATGACTCTACATGGAACTGACCGGTAGATATAGTCTCGGAACTTGCTTTTCGCCAGCTCATCGACGTGATGATGCCCCTTGTTCATTTTGCGAAAGTAACTTGGAATCAACCACGCCCCCACATCCCTTCTCTTTCCTTTGACACACAGAACCATAAGAGAAAGTATTGGTGTCTTTGGGTTCAGTAGGAAAGATTCCAAGGGGTGCAGATTTTCGGTTGTAGATTGTCGAGTTTTCCGAATGAAGTTTGCCCGGAAATAATTCCTCGGGGCCGGCAAATCGCAATGTCCAATAGATCTAGCACCACATGTAACTGTGACAACCCTTGATTAAGGATAGTACGAAGCCGTATCTGCCGCCCAGGATATCAGTTCCTGTGCTGGTCCTTGTCCAAAGTTGCTCAAAGTCCTAGTATTGTTGATGAAAATTGCTGTATAGTCAACTCATATCTCTTCACAGCGTAACATTTGAGGCCCCAAGATTTGTAAAGAATACATATTCTCTTAACCCCCACCTCGCTGTTACTCATCTTATACCGAACCTTTGCCCTTCTAAGTGAACGCCAAGCAGAAGTGGACAACTCAGCGGAGTACCAAGCAAAGCTGAGGTTTATCCACCAATCACACGACCCCGCCTCAATCACGCATCAAAATCCCTTCTACCACCACGCAAAAGTCATAAATACAAGTCGTCAATTTCTCCCTAATAGAACTTCCAATTCCAATCCACGAATTGTTTGAATCAAAACTGTTCATCATGGCTGCCACTTCCTTCGTCGACGCGCTCAAGAGCGCAAACCTCCTTCCTTCATCAATCATCCCAGACTCTTTCACCCCCACTATTCAGCTATCCGTCAAATTCCCATCAGGTCTTGCCCCCGAAAGGGGAAGTCTCGCACGCGTCAGCCAGATCGCAGAGCAACCCGTCATTTCCATCTCTTCAATGTCAGACTCCCCATCCTCAGCATCAACATTTGCTTTCATGATGATTGATCCCGATGCACCCACGCCTGACGACCCGAAATTCGCTTACTGGCGCCATTGGGTCATTACTTCCATTCCTTCGACTGTTTCCCCAACAGATGACATTACCTCAAATGGGAAGACGTTGACGCAATATCTTGCGCCTGGACCCAAGGACGAGAGTGGCCCGCATCGCTATTTGTTCCTACTTTTTGAGGAGAAAGAAGGTGAGACTCTGGAGAAGGCGGAGATTGGGGGAGAGGAGTTTGTGGAGCGAAGGAGCTTTAGGGCTGAGGAGTTGGTGGCGAAGAAGGGGTTGAAACTGGTGGGTGTGCAGTGGATGAGGGGTGTAGGGGATGGGTGGAATGGTGGTAAGGATGAGTTGTGAGCGACGGGAAGTATGTGTAAGATCTTCCAGGAAGAGATCGTGATGCTCGTTGATAGGGGGGTGCAGTGATGGACATGCTTTGTGTGTATATAGGAGAATTTGGTACTTCACCTTCAGCTTTGATGTATCTCAGAGAGACATATTTTCTCCTTTCAAATACCACATCGAGGATGCGGGAGTTTTTTTTCGATCTTCGTAGGGTACAGAACCCGTTCAGGGCATCCAAAGAACAATGAGGATAAAGTAACTCAAACGCGGGTAGATTGAAAGAACTGCTTGTTGTGAAAAGACCGGTCACAGCAACGAATATGTACTTTGCATTGCCAAGAAACTAGAATAACATAGGAAATAGACGTGAGAAATTATGTCCTAAATTGGGACAGATGTAGGCAATGTAATTCTTCTCTCTAGACCTATTGGGCATTTTTGCAACACAAAGGTGGTGTGATGTAAGAAATTGCATTAATTCTGCGAAACTAAACAAGATCTGTAACCTGGTAAATATGAGGTGTGGGGAACGAGAAAGCTTAATTCAGCTGACCACAATAACCGCTCAGGTGTTTCTCTACCACAACACTCGCTTAGGTACTTCAGCTGGTACCGCGACCGCTCAATTGCTGAATCCTTCTTACGCACAATGTAACTCCAACAACTCTTGACCCGCTCTTTCAATTTCGACTTCCTAAAAAAAACTACATTACTGAGACGGTAACCCTTCGGCCAACTGCGATGTATTACTCCGAGCTGAACACACAGTGGAGTCCGTAGTAACATCAGCATCACACGGTACCGGTGACTTCAGCTACGAAGATGAAAGTACCCAAGACTTCAAGAGAGAAAGAGAGAGAGAGGGAGAGGAAGAAAGACTATAAAACCACCAACGACGACCCCAAAATCTAAACCATCATCAATTCATCATACCATCATCCACTCCCAACATCTCCAACCTCACCAACTTCACCCTCCAGCCACCAATCTCAATCACCAACCATGCTCTCCACCAAGCCCCTCCTCGCCTTCGCCGCCCTAGCCCTCACCGCTTCCGCCTCAAAGTGCGACACCCACCAACTCTACTGCGGCAGCACGCTCAAGTCCGCCCGCGGTATACATCTCCCCACCGTCCCCCTTTCAAAACGCTTTTCTCAAACTAACCTTTCCCCAACAGGCTGGACAAACAACGAAATCCAAAGCAAGTGCCTCCGAAGCACCTGGAACGACGGCCAGTACCCGGCCATGGACCAGATCGACAAGTCACTGTTCAAGTGCGGTAGTGCGGGTGATGCGCTGGTGTGGATTAATGGGCGCGTGCCTTGTGGAAGGTGTGTTGATGGTGGGGCTGGAAAGCCTGATTACTGCGCCTAAGAAGTGTGCTGGGGCTCGAGGGTTTGAGATGGGGGGATGTAGTTTTCTTTCCTTTTGGCTTTTTTTGTTTGGGAAATTGAGGGGAAGGGGGAGGGGATGAGGGGATGGAAAAGACGCTCTTTAATGTGGTTGGTTTGATTTAATGGGTTGTTGATGTGCCTAACACACGCTCGCTTTATTTTGTTATATATTGTTTAGAAGAAATTTAGACCTGGGTTCTTGATAAGTTTGCTGCTTTGATGCAGACGTCGCTTGTCTATTGTAAGGAAAAGAATCTTTTCTCTGAAATGTTGACTACTGATTATCAGTTATCCCGACGTTCAATCCCGGGCTCAATTGAAAAACATCTCATTCCCAGAATAGAAAAGGTTAAATCAAACGTATGCGATTCATCTAGTAGACGTGAACATTACACTTACTCCTCAGACACACTCCCACATGAAACTGTAAAAGATATCCGCCTCATAAAAATCTCCTCCAATCCCTCTCCCCGCCCCCTTCATTGACTCCTTCACGCCCTAACATCCCTCAATCTGATTTTTAGCCCACCCTTGGGCTTCGACGTAATCCCGCCCTGAATATCTAGCTTGTAATCCGGGTCCTCAAACTCAAACTCAAACCTACCTACCAATGCTGCAACCAAGCACGCAAATTCTGCCTTGGCAAACTCTTTACCAATACAACTTCTGGGTCCATGCAAGAAGGTGGTGATGGCGTAGTTGCTCTCTGCGCCACCCGTATTGGCAGTACCAGGCTGCATCCAGCGATCGGGATTGAATTCGCGGGCGTCCGGGCCCCAGAGGTGGGTGGATGTGTTGACGGCCCAGGGGCAAATGACGATAGCGGTGCCGGCAGGGACAAAGTGGCCTTGGATAGTGGTGTCGTGTGCTGCTTCGCGCAGGGTAAGTGGAACGGATGGGAAAACACGCATGGTTTCTTGTAGCACGGCGTTCAGATACGGCAGATGATCGATTTCTGTTGACGAGACTTGGCCGCCGTCTTCTAGCGCCGAGGGTATTTGTTCGTGGATTTCGCTTCGTAGTCTTTTTTGCACGTCGGGGTATTTGCAGAGGACGTAGACGGCCCATGCTAGTGCTGAAGCGGTGGTTTCGTGGCCTGCAGCAAGGAACGTCATGAGTTGGTTTACAAGATCTTCGTCACTGAAGCCGCCAGATTCCATGGCTACACTGAGGATATCCAGGCCCTTTGCTTCGCCGCTTTCTAACTTGGCACGCTTGGAGCGAATGAGATCTCTGGCTACGCTTTTGACGGTGCGGACCGCGTTTCCAATTTCGTCGTTTCGCTTGAGTGGTAAGTTGATGGCAATCTTGTACGGAATCATGCCGAGGATAATCTGAACAATCTGAGCGCCGCGGCTGCTGGCGAAGATTTGCTGATATGTCTCGTAGAGTTCATTTTCCGGATTCACAAGGGCATCGAAATCCTTGCCACAACCAGCCACACCGATGATGTCGAGTGTTGCACGGGAACCCCAAGATACGATTTCAACAACCGAAGACTTGGTGGGATCGTTCTTGATTGTCTCAGAGATCTTATTCACCATCGCCTGGGATTTACCCCAAAAAATCGGGTACAGGTCCTTGACGTGGCGGAAGTTGAATGCAGGCATGAGTAGCTTCCTTTGACGCTATATGGGTTCAGGATTAGTCTTGGAAGCGCTCGAGCGTCATGCTTGCCACCGAGGTGTCAATTGGAGAGTGCATACCTTGTGCTCATCTCCCTCTGCGAGCAAAACACCAACACCAAGCACTCTACCCAACCCGACCCTCACCCTTGTAGGCTTGATAAAATCATAACTCCTTTGCGCCAAGACCTCACCCAGCGCCTTTGGATTCGTAATCAAAACCCTGGGGTCATTGAACAAGAACCGATAGTAGATGACACCGTCGTTCGGCACACTGTCAATCCAATCTCTCTGTGGCTCGCCCGTCGGCTCCTTGTAAATTCTAGCATAGTGCCCAAGAAGCCAGTGTCCGTCCTATCGCATAAACGTATAATCAGCATACCATATTCCACATATAGTCTCCGCCTCCCTAACCGATAGAGAAAACAATTCGGAAAAGAATGAAAGAAAAGGTACTCACCTCGGGTGTCGGCAACTTCCTCAACGGCGTCAAAAACAACGGATACACAAGTACCCCCCAGAAAAGCTGCGCAAAGAACAAAACCATATAGACCCCAAACGTATTCTTGACATAACTCTGCGCCGCAAACGGCGTGAATCCGACATCGTACCGCGCACGAAAACCCGCATACGCCGCCGAAGTAAGTAGCAGCACGCGTTTCGGCACCGCCATGTTGAACTCGCCCGTCTAGAACACACAACAACAACTAATCGGGGTAGGCAGTCGTACAAAGCGTGTCCGGAAAAGAGAAAACCACAAGAAGAAAGTTCCGGTCTCGATAGTATAACCCCCCCGTCGTTCAAAAAGTGGTCGATCTGGCCCGTTCAAGGCAGCAGCAGCAACAGCAACAGCAACAGCAGCAGCCCAAACCCACGGCGGGTCCCCTAAACCAGCCCCAACTAGGTGCAAAAGGGTTTAGATCGGGGGTTTCGTTCTCGTGACGTAGCTGACTTGAATCAGCCACACTGTGCGCAAAAAAAAATCAATCCTCCGTTGGCGAAAAACAAATATATATACATATACTGATGTCGAAGATAGAAGATAGAAGGAAAAAAGAGTAAGAAAGAAGGAAAAGGAAAAACAGTCCTTCTAATAGTAACCATTATAACGCCGTACGCGCCTCTCTCCCCCCCCCCCCCCTCGTCCTGCGCCACACACACCAAAAAGACAAAACCTCGCACAATGCTCGTTTCAGTCCCCACGTTTGCGATTGGGGGGGGAGGGAACCGGCTGGACCCTAATCCGCGCGTAGGGGCGGGGGTCCGTGCGTCGGAGGATAGTCTTCCCGACTAAGGAGAGATAGAGAGAGGAGCTTGTTGGCGAGGGGCGCTCCTTGCGTTGATTGTTGTCCCGACTCAGCGTGTTAGTATAAGGAAACGGGGTAAGAACAGGGGGGGGGAATGTTGAGTTGGATGCCTTGATTTTAGGCAACAACCAAAAAAAAAATAGATTGTGTTGGGTTCCGCGGACGAAAAAGAAAAGAAGAAGAACAATAGTAAGTTATGGAGGTTTGGGTTGGGTTGTTTGCAAGTCTCCTTGCTTTTTTTTCTTCTTCTTCTTGGGTTGATGCGCGGACCGCGTGGAGTAAAGAGTGATGACTGTGTGATGCAAAAAAAAAGGCAAAGAAAGGGTTCATGGTCTTGGTCTTTCTTCTATTTCGTTATGTTACAAGCTTCATGGATGGATGAAGCCGGATGTCTAATACATATGATATCACCGCTCTCTCTCTCTATCAACACCTTATTTCCGTCGTACGCTGTTATCTTCACCGGAATTGTCACTCTTCGTCGCAGAAGTGGTTGCCTGGTCTTCTCCCTGAATCGTCGTATCGCCAACGACCACGGCTCCCTCCTGGTTCTCTCCCTCTTTTACATCCTTGGCTTCCGAGTCCTTTGACAAATGCCCCGCCGTCTGCTTCCTCCACAGCTCCGCGTACTTTCCTTCTTCGTTCTTCAGCAACCCCTGATGTGTACCTCTCTCGATGATTTCGCCCTTTTCAACCACCAAGATCTGGTCGGCGTCTGCAATCGTGCTGAGTCTGTGTGCGATTACAAACGTGGTGCGGCCTTGACTTAGTTTGCGGAACGCCTGCTGGATCAGTGCCTCGATGGACGAGTCAATTGCTGATGTTGCTTCGTCCAGCAAGACGATTTTGGGGTTCTGCAGGAGCACGCGGGCAATGGCTATGCGTTGCAGTTGGCCGCCTGACAGCCGTACCCCGCGTTCACCCACTTTGGAGTTGTAGCCGTCTGGGAAACTGACAATGTCGTCGTGAATGGCAGCAGCGCGGCATGCATCTTCGATTTCGGCGTCGGTGGCATCGAGTTTGGCATAGCGGATGTTTTGTCGTATGCTTTGATTGAACAAAACGGGATCTTGAGGCACGACGCCCATGGCATCCCGTAGACTAGCTTGCGTCACTGAGCGCAGGTCTTGGCCATCGATCATTATCGAACCGCTGGTCACATCGTAGAAGCGGAAGAGAAGCTTGAGCATAGTCGACTTTCCGCCACCCGTCTCACCGACAAAGGCGATAGTCTGGCCACCCGAGGCCTTGAGGTTTACGCTCTTGATAATAGGCTTACGCTCGTCGTAGTGGAAGTGGACATCCTTGAATTCCACTTCTCCTTTCTCCACAATAATGTCCTTGGCACCTTCCTGGTCTGCTACCGTGGGTTTGGTGTTCAGTAGCTGTAGCAGGCGTTCGGCATCGATCAGCGAGCTGGTGATTTGTCGGAAGCTATAGGACAGAACGTAAAGTGGCGAAGTCATCGTATGCCAGTACATGATCAGTGTAACCAAGTTACCAACTGGCCTTCGTCCGGTGACGATCTGAGTCATGCCGAAGACACAGGCACCAGCGAAACCAAGGGTAGTCAGAAGATCTTGCGCAGCATGTCCGCCCATGGATCTGAAGTAGTATTGATATTGCGCCGAAATGGTGTTGATGATGTTTTCTGCATAACGCGCATACTCATACGCGAAGCGGTTGAAATAAGCGACTGTTTGCCAGTTGTGGATCGTCTCGTTGACAGTGGAGCTTTCGCTTCGTTGCTTCTCCACGTAATCTCGTCTTTTGGGTTGCGACAGTGTTGTAAAGTAGAATCCAATCGCAATGTATGCTGCGCCCATGAACAGAACGATAAAGGCCATGTATGCGTCGAACAGGTGAGTGACGTAGTACATTGCGACGAAGAGGTCCAACAGGATTGGCGCAACGTCAAACAGCACCATTTCGATGAGTGTGTTGAGCGAAGACGCCTGCTCAACAGCCTTCAAGACCTCGCCCGAGTCTTTTGAGGTATGAAAGTCCATGGAAAGACCCAGGACGTGTTTGTAAGCTAGCAAGGTGACGCGGCGATACGCAGAGTTGGAGATGACGAGATTTGCCATGCCGTCAATGACTCCGAGTCCGGCATAACTGTTGATCCAGGAGTACAGCACCCAGAGGCCAATGTCTTTCCACGGCATGACGCCGCTCTTTGTGTCGTACGCTTTTTGTAGTTCGGTAGTGATGATACCAAGCTGTCGAGGGGTGAGCAGATTGAGGGCACGCTCTTGCAGCATATGCACCAGTCGAATGCCGAGGCAAGCCATGACCTTCCAATCGTCTTTTGGAAACAGATATGGTAGGAAGACGGCGAAGCCTTTCAAGTAGCCGAACCAGCCACCTTCTTCTTCGAGTCGTTTCGCTTGTTGCGCTTTCAAGTCTTTGTCGTCTTCCTCTGGCGGACCGTCCTCATCATCGCTGAAATCACCGCCAAAATCCGCGCCGAACGGGATGGCACCGTAGCCCATGGGGGAACCTGGGCCTAACAAGCTATCCGTTGACTTGTTCAGAAGCGATTGGCGCTCCTCGTCTGTGCTAGCTTCAGTCTGTTTGGTGACGAGGACGACAAATGCATCCACCAGTAGGAGCAGTGAGACCAAAGCCCTCACGCAGCTAATGATCAAAGGCGGGTACTTTTCTGAGAATGGTTCTGGCACGGTGGAAATCGTGATCAAGCAAGTCGTTGCCTCGAGTGCAAACTGCAAAACAAATGCTCCAAAGTACGCATGCCAGCGCAGCGATTTGCTTGCCCACAACATGTAAGACAGAGGGCTCCAGACAAGTATCGACCCCAAGCACCGTATGGCGAAGAATTGTGGAGCTGTGTATTCAGAATCGGCTATCGACCGGCTGAGGTAGGAGAGGACTTCTGTGATGTATGCCAGGAGTATTGTGGCCATGAAAGCCACTATGCTTATCCGTCTTTTCTGTGGCACAATTCGTGTTTTCTGTAAGATGCAGAGACCGAACATGCACGCTCCTAGGTAATAGAAGCCAACCGCAGGAGCGTGCATGTAACTCAGCAACTTTATGGCCGAGTAGAACGGCGGTGGGGATTCGTCTTGATCCATGATGGGGGTCGAAGTGGTGGGTTTGTTAAGGGTTCAGAAATCCCACTTGTGCCAGAGCTGGCCTGAGACGATTGTGGTTGGGAGGCAAACCACGCCAGTGTTTGGGGGGAGGCTGAACAGGCGATGTTTATTCTTGCTCGTACCCTTTTTAAAGACACGCGATATTGTCCAATAACCCCAGTCTACAAATGGCTTGGAGGAGGCCGCTGAGAGTGGAGAGCCTAGAACCCCAGGAATGCGACGTCGGCGAAGAGTCAATCGAAAAACCCTGTTCCGAGAGTTTGGGGGCTGTACGATCTGCAGCACCGCCACGAGACCGTCACCCGCTTGATGACAGCCGACGTATGCAACCAAGGAAACAAGGAGTGTATTAGATTAGGAATATGGCGTGTAGATGCAGAGTATCTGCGCTCGGTTTGACGATGGCCCGAAGGCGTGTTGATGGTTTCGTAAAGAGATGCGCAGTGAGGGCAGGGCTGTGAGTTCTTGTATAGCGACAGGCTAAGGTATGCCCTTGCTTGTATGATTCATTGCGACCGGCGTTTAATGGTCAGGATAGGGAGATACATAGCGGGTGGGTTCTGAGTAGCTCCCGCATCTTACGCAATAGGCTTTCTCCAGTCAGAGGCTGCAATGCCTTTTGCTGGCAAATTAGCGGGTGTGGCTAGTAGGGGCGCGGACATCTCTTGCACCCCTGCACGCCGCTGCCTAAGCCTATACGCCTGTACGCTATACGCAGCAGTCAACCATGTTGCATCTCGGGGCTGCCGTGCGTTGTCGGGCAGCTAAGATTATCCCCACCGAGGGCCCATTTGCTCAAAACGATGACCGATAAGAAGCGTATATACGCCATGGCAAAAAGGCAGGGAGTCTACTATACGCTTTGCAAAGGTTCAGCGTGGCAATTCCAGGCAGAAGTCTGGCGGCGCAGTGAGCGCAGTACTAACGACGCCTCTTAGGCTCCATCAGCGCTGAAGTGAAGGGCGCCAGAGAAAGCCAACGAAATTACAACGCGCGCTTTAGTCTTTATGAGTACATATCGTGGGCTGCGAGTGTAGGGCTGGAACATGGTGGTTAGGACGGATGCGGCTAGCGTTTCTGCATACCACGTCGGTGACGCGATAGGCAAGGTTTAGTTCGACGACACACCTGGTACTGACACCCACAGGCTGACATGCATGTCATGCTCGGCCTGAGATACCCTCCTCTACAAACCAACATGCAGCCATCCCATATTTCTTTTCACCATGTCATGGCCAAGTCTGCTTCTTTTCCTCAGCCCCAGATATGACCCATTTCGCCATGAACACAATATAGCACGGCGCTGTTTACCTATGCGAGCCCACTCTCCTTTTTGGCGATATCTCTGGTTGCTATGTCTTCTCACTGCTGTCAGGGAAGACCCCTCCTTTTGCCAAGGTACTTAGAATTCAAGCTTTGCCCTTGTTCTGGGCACGACCAAACATCGGCAATCTTGAAGACGACACCTGGTACACCATGACGGCCATCTTGCAATGTCGAAACGTGTCCCGAGATCGGCCCACACGCCCCGCCTGTTCACACGGCAGAGCATGGGGCCGTTTCAATGCTTAAACTGGCCGTCCATCTGTGCCAGTGTCACACCCGTCTTACGCTAATAGGAGGGTTGGATGTATTTCCCATTTCGTGTCTTGTTCAACGGCACTAGATATCCTTCACCGCTTTCTGCGTTTGAATACTGCGAGCGTGGACGTGAAGACAACGCAAAGGTGTCATTTTCATCGAGTCAAGGGCTATATCGTGAACTCGTGATTTCAGTGACGAGGGATACCGGCATGAAATGTCTTGTCCACCAACCAACCCCTCCAAAGTGCCCCTTCACAGCAAAGAAGAACAAACGAGTTTGTTCTCAAGGCATTCAAACTTCGTCCGCCATGTGAGCTGATGCTTTGCATGATCCATTCACGTACCTGGCCAGGCATATACATATATAATCCACTGTGCACATCAGTGTGTATGTATCAATCTTGTAGGGCTGTATCTTAGACGTCCCGAAAGCAAGACCATCCAGAGTGAATTGCCTTCCAAACGAACCAATCGCGTTAGTGGATGTGGGCAGATTCCTACTCCCAGCACAATACGATTTCACCCTGACCCTCCTATTGTTGAATACTTCCCACTACCTCCACCGCCGCAGCCGTCTCCTGTTTTTGCAAGTGCAAAATTCCAAATCTAACTCTTTTTCCACACAGTCACAGCGCCCAAGTAAAGCATTGACAAAGAACACACAGCACTCAAGCCGCTCCAAACAAACAAAAAGATGGATCCCTCTGCTATACCATGCCCGAGCCATAGCAGTGGCACCCAAGGCCTCACACTCACGCCAGAAAATACATACATTCACTGCGGCCCGTCCCGCACAAACACCCCACCCCATATAAACAACTCAAATTACTCTCACAGCCCTCTTACACCATACACGCCTCACACACCAGCAAGCACAGCTCCGAACACTTGCACTGTCGACGAGCCACTGTATACCAGAGTAGCCGTACACACGGCCAAGTGTACCGAGTGCGACAAACGCAACATGGATACCATGCGGCGTTGCCCCGGCTGCACCTTTCAGGTCTGCCAGCCATGCTATGAGAAGCGCCAACGTCAAGGTAAGGGACTTGTCCACGGCAACATGCCATCCCCCGAGGAGACTGGAGCTGCAACTCCTGGTGGTACTGGAGCGAGGGCATCGAGGAAGAAGCCAGTAGGTAGTGCGGCCAAGGCCAAGAGTTCCGAGAAGGAGGTCGACGAGGACGACTCGGAAGAGTGTGCAAACGGTGCCATCAAGGGAGGCAAGCACACTCCATCTGTACCCAAGTCGAAGGCAGGCAAGCGGTCGCGCGGCCGCTCTTGCGTTAAGGATAGTGAGGCAGAAGACTCGTCCGAGGGCGAGCTCGACCACGCATCTCACACTCCCAGTAAACGCCACCAGACCCTCTCCTTTGCAGAGAGTGCTCTCGCGACCGCCACCAGAGCACCCCCAACCACTCGTGCTGCTGCTCTTCGATCCAACCCAAGTATAGCGTCCCGAGCGCCTCCAACCCTACAGTCAGAGACTGTGGCACACCGGGTCCCAGTCACTCACTCGCGCGAAGATTTTCCCTACGACGATATCTTGTATCAAAACTGCGTCGTTGACTACGACGAGCCGCTGCTAGCCCGCTGCGAGCCCGTTGCACACAACCCTGCCGCACGAATCCCAGCTATCATCCAGCGAGGCGGCCGCCGTCGACCCACAGCCGACGAGATCTGTCAGAACATCCAGAGAAAGGTTCGCGAAAAGCTGGAGAGGATGCAAGCTGAGAAGTCGGTTGCCGGCGCTGAAGCGTCCAGTGTACCCGCTTCATACGTAAGTACCTAAAAAAGCTATGCCCAGATTCCATCTTCTGTTCTTATTTCCAGGGCCGAATACTCACGATAACGTAGCAAGCGCCAGACTACAAGACCGCCGTCACTGTCCTCCAATTCGTCGAGAGGGAAGCGAAGAGGCACCAAGACGCCAATAACCTTAGCGAAGACGATGCCAAAGCCCTGTTCCGTATCATGCAGGTTGAAGCAATCAGCTGGGGCAAGAAGACGTTTAAGAAACAGGAATATGGGATGCGGCGTCTGCTGCTTCCGGGCTTGAACCTTCGTCTTGATAGGATCCCCAGCAAGTACACTGTCGAACTGCGCGTCTTGATGGATGGGGTCGCGGAGCACGCGTTGCATGAGTTGGATGAAGCTGCGACTTTGTCTGCGACCTCGCCGCCCCCTCCGTCCGGCTGATGGTGTGGTATGACGTGGGGTGATGTCTTCGTCCACGGCATGTATAGCACGTCATCACCAATGTTCCCCTCCTGGAATTGCTTTTGCTTTTTATTCCTGCTTCTTTCAGTTGTCCACTATTCACACGGAATCCTGGGAAGTGAATAGTGGAGGGACCTTGTGTAGTAGTCGGGCACTAGCCATGAGGTTTGACGGTGATTGCGATAATCCTGCTTCTTTTGTCTGTGGATTATCCACGCAGACCTTTATGAAGCCACTTGGTGGGATCTTGTATAATAATCTGGCATTTGCCTTATGGGTCGAAAGTATTCTAGGGAAAGAATCCAATCTTGTTCAACGGTATGATTTGACGAGTAGAGGAAATAATAATAATGTGCTACATTTTACCGTTTCTCGGCTAGTAAGAAATTGTGAGGAAGACGATAGGACGACATTGACATAATGATGCAAAAAAGTTTTGAACCCACATATGCTAACACTAGGAAATATGCCAATGATAGAGGCAATGCTGATTGAAAAGAGAAAATACAGAAAGGAAAGAAAATATTACGGGTATCCGGAATGGGTAATCGTACAAGAATGTCTAAAATAAGCATCAGAAGATGCGACAGATCTCTGCCTCAGAGGGCCTGGGTAAATGCGTCATGACGTTGATCACGGTTTTTCGTATGTCTATCGTTGGCCGAATTGTATCGTCAGCTTGCCGTTGGCTGGCTTAATCTGATCCAACTCGTCTTCTCCTTGGCTGCCTACAGCGTTCTCGAGCCAGGTTGTTTCGTCGTCTTCATTGTCACCGGCGGAAGCTGGGCGGCCGTGTCTGATGGACTTGAAGCGCTCGTTGAAAAGATGGGCATACTCGTCATTCTTGGAAGGCTGTTCCGAGACCTCGGGGAGTGCGCTCGGTTGTGAAACGGGGATCAACTGTCTATAGGGGATGACATCAGAGCTGGGAACAGCAAAGTCCATAGATACAAGAGACTTACTCATTTGTTTCAGCGCAGATACGCTCGAGGTTCTCTCGCTGGCGACGAAGCTCCTCAGGGTCAGGCTGAGGCACGTTATGAGTGCTGCTGGCGGTGCCATAGTTGGGTTGATATTGGTCCCCGAGAAGATGTGAAGCGTCCGACTGCTACAAGCGAGTATGTCAGCTAGATCGTCAATGCAAAAGCGCACGCAGGAGAACTCACATCTATATCCGAAGTCCTCTGTCCTCCTAAGCACGACGCGCAAACACCCATTGCAATGTAAAGGGCGTGTTACGTAATGAGCAAAGAGGCGTAGAGAGGGCAGAACGGCGGAGGCGAAGAGTTTGCTTTCTGGGTAGCTTGCGAGCGTGGAGATGGCGAGCCCCTCGACACAGCGTGGTATCTAGTGCAGTAAGAAGAATGTTGCTATCGCTTGTTGCGACAAGGGTTGATTCCTTGGAGTTGTGATGATCGGCACCAAACATGTCCGACCTCTTGGCGGTTCCAAGCCACATGCCTGCGCCACGTTCGAGAAACATCACGTGCCATTGTCGTTTATGTATATCGTCTTTTGAGATTTCAACGTTCATCGTGAGATGGATTGGTCGCTCAGTGGGTGTTTCATTGTCCGCAATCGTATTTTAAGATTATTTGAAGTTTAGAATAACACTCTAGAGCTGGACTACAACACGGGGAAATTGACGGGCATCAGTTCCACCCTGATTACATCTGCGTCACTACCTAGGTTTTGTTGAATGCACAGATGTTGAACGATAATGGTAAAAACCTTTCAACCTGTATGCCCATCAGTTTGCATGATGTTCGCCGTGCCAATGCCCACAATCTAATTCTTCCCAATCGTAATGGGCTGCTAGCTCGGTTAAATGCATTTTTTGGCCTTTGGGTGGTTCAAATAGATGGAACATAGAGAACCTGATACAATCAGGCGGAATATCAAAAATTCCGGTTGGCATGACCACATGTAGCTAGGGACATGACTAGAATCACACCTGGTATAAACTTGGCTACTCGCATAATCGGGCGTGTTGGCCTCACGGCTATTTAACACGTAGGGGAATCCTTCGATGCATACCCACAAATCACTACCGATGCTCTTGCAAGAGACGTGGGGGTTCGGCCACTGCATTAACCGACAAGGGCTATCCTAGACATACGTTGCGAGGCGAGCCGCCGGTGTGCGTAAGGGTAAGCGCACCTCTAGGTTCATGAAGCCTAGTTGTACGTAAGTACGTACCAAGCCATCACAATGCTGCAACGACTTTTGCTACAGATGGCATGACTGGAAGTCTAGAGAAGATGCATGCATTTTAGCGCCCCTGGGAGCTGTGAGTATCGTCGTTCCTGTTGGGCGAAGTCGGCGGCTTGCAGTTGAGGCAGAATGCCTGTTCTGGGCTGTGATTGGTCGCACTCTCGGCAAACGTTGTACCACAATCGCATGTCCTACAAGGTCTGTATAGGCTGAGGAGGCTTTGAAAATAAGCAGAGAGTTTTCTTGGTCACAGCGAGATCGCATTGAGTCTGAACGCATGGGCTCCCGCTTTCTATTCCATCATGCAACAGCCAGTGCTGAACAACGATTGGGGGCAATAATGAAGACGGCCAGGTAGACATTCAACGGATTGTACACAATTCGTGCGTTGTATATCGCGGATTGGTGCGGGAGTAAGTGTGCGTCCGTTCCGACATGCATATAATTTGCGGGAGCGCTATGGAAGGTGGAATTCACCCGAAAGGGTAAAGTCGTCATGCGCAATGCTCGTAGTCGCAACGAAACGAGCTGAATTGGTGAGCGCCAAAGAGTACGTACCGCCGGTACATGCGACTTGGATAGTCGCCCGCATCTGAAATGGAGCGAAATGAGGATGCCACTGAGCAGGTTGCCCAGCTCATCTGAATGAGCTGTTCCAGGCTCTGATTGGTTCATCCTGTGCTTTACATGCGTTCCGGCTAAGCATAACTATACTGATTGTAGCCCAATACGTCCATGTTACGGCCTAAAGATGGTTGATCAGTCGTAGGGCATGTAGGAACCATGTCTTGCGGGCCTATTGACAACACGTCGAGCCGATTTATTGGCCCTGTTGTCGTGGTATCGCCTTACGCATCCACCCAGCTGCGTCTTTGAACCCAACCAAAAGCTACGGTACACGAGCATGCGAGCAACGTGCTGTATTGTACCACGGGCGCTTAAGTCTGGTCGCTGTGTTAGGGCTACGATCACAAGATACTCTTAAGCTGGGGTGGCCCGTACCCTTCTCACACCCCTCTTCCGCGCTGTCAAACCCCCATTCTCTTGTGCACACGGATGCACTAGACGGCACTCGAGGAGATAGTCGTGTTATAAAATTGGCTATGACGCCTGCGAGTGTACTGGTGAGCATAACTCAGGGACAGCGTGTGGAGGGCGATCGATCGCCTTTCAGGCCACTCAGCGTTCGCCACGTAAGTCGACATTTTCTGCCTCTCTTCCTGGCTCTTCCGACTGATATGGCACTCTCAGGACCCCAACTCTCTTCATCAGCATTGCTCATATCGATACCGTTGAACGATCCAAGGATAATCGAGCGCCACATGGACGAAGAATACGTCGCGATACTGCCAAAATCTAGGAGGATCCCCTCAAGACTGAGCTCACATCAAGCGTGAGGCTATCGATCACACGAGCATGCCCTCTCTTGCTTTGTCCCATTCATACCATTACCCCTCTCTTCGACGCACGTCTTCCAATGATCCGGTACGCAAAGACTCACACTAGCAAGGGATAACAGAGTGAGAGGGAGTCAGCTGCTACGCCTGGTCTCGTGGAAGACAACCCGCCGAAGGATTTTAGAGCCAATATCTTGGTGGAAAGGTTACGGACTGGTCTCAGCGGAAAGTTTTCGAGATACGCAAAATGATGTTGAGGTGGTGAGCTTCTTGGTAACATAATGGTAAATGAGTTAGGATCGGCATATCTTCGGCCTAATTCGATCACGCTATCCGCCCCAACCCTAGCGCCATCACGTGCCGACCGAGCTACGAAATTACCCCACCGCTGTCCCCCGACAAAACAACATCCTCATCGTCTGTTCCTCCACTCTTCCTATCCCGCCGTTATCGTTCGGCTTGCTGCATGTCTACAACGCTCCCGTCAAAACTCTATTACGTATCTCCCAGATACCGGAAGAAGCGCCGTTCCTTTGGCTGGGCCGTGCGCAACCACCTCTCCACTTCTATTCGCGGCTACGCGACATTCGCGGATTGGATGGCTTCAGCCCCCATTTCATGGCACAGCGGCTACGTTCACAACGACTGAGCATTCAGCCAATCATGAAAGCTAGGAGAAAGAAAGATTGATTCAACTATCCAATCCCAAGAGGATTCAATGACTGAAAAGAAGCGATTGTAAGAGGTAACGCCCGGTCTTCCATGTGCCGCTCCTCCTCCTTCAATAGCAGCTCTTCCTGCTTCATGTCGACCCCCGAAGCGAAAACTGAACGGGCTCAATTTGAAAGGAAATACCAAGACGTTGTACATGAAACGAAAACTCCCAGACGCCTGCGCCATGTCCACCCCGAGCTCAGTGAATCGCCTGCAGTCTGCGGTTACGCTCGTTGGTTAGCTCACAGATTTCCCCATCCAATGCGCGAATCATTTCCATGGATTTCTCAATAGAGGCCGCAAACTTGTGAGCCTCGCGCTGCCATCGGCCGACACGGTCCACCTCAGCGGCTCGGCGGCGCATCTTGGTGTTGATCTTCTCGCAGAGCTTGCAATATGTGCCAGTAGGAACCGTTTGCATGATGAGCTTCATGCCACACGTCTCGCCGATTCGGTACTCTTTGGCGCAGTGCTGGCGGAAATGGCCCCACTTCCAATCGCCACAGACAAAACGGTGCTGGTCGTAGAAGCACATGTTTCAGAGTAGAAGAGCTGTGTCGTCTGGGGTCCGGTTATACATTAGCCATGGTGCTCATGCTTGGACTATAGGTCTCCAATACGTACGTATTACTCCTTGTTCAAACACTGGACCTGCTTGATAGGACCAGCGATCTCGTACCTGGAATCGGTCAACTCAGGGGTCTTTGACCTCCTTCCTCAAGGGCACATACACTGGATGGTTGGATGATAGAGAGCCTTGAACAACAATGAGCAAGGTCTAGGGGTAGGAGGTGGGTCGGTTGTTGGACTCGATGTCACAAGAGTTGGAAGATGCTCAGAAGATCTCGTCAACGACTGGAGGTTGCTGTTGAGTTGAGTGTAGAGCCAGACTGGAAGCAGCAGCATACCGCTATTTATCCTTACGGACGCATACCTCTCGACGACCTCATGGGTCACTCCTGGCACCCGAGACTGTTTCGTGGTCAGACCATAGATTGCTGCCATGGCCTTTCCTTCCGTCGACGTGGTTGCACCCCACCTCGTCCCGTCCAACGACATCGCTACGATTCACAAATCCCTTTCATTCTGACGCTAAAACAATGCGGAGACGGGCTGCAATGGAACCCTAGGCCGTGCCGGCGTTTCCAGCTGCAGAGAGTTATCACATATGCTAGGGGATCAACGTGTCGTGGCTTCATGAACCACGTAACCCTGAGTTCCGGATGTGAAAATCCCTCATCTTCCTTGTCGAATTGCCTTAGCGGGCGCTCCGGGATGTTGTGGTATGTCGTTTTCGAGCATTCCGGGCCTCTCATGCTATGGGAGATGGAGCATTTCTGAACCGAGTTGTAATCACGTGCTATGTGGTTCATGCCGAGTCACAGTCCGCTCTAGATATTCTTTCCTGGGAGTAACAAGCGATTGGCCAATGGTGTCCGCTGAGATACCAACAGCGGACGCCAAAGGAGGAAAGTACGCCAACGAACCCTGAGAGCCCTGGACACCCCTTCTCCATTACGAGCTACGGTCAGCCGTTGCCAGATGCATTGGCCAACCTATGGAGCGCCTGTATCAGCGGTGCTATCGATTGGGCGTCTGTCCGCCCTCGAGATTGCTAACATGAAGCACACCCGTGAAATTTCGGGCGTTTACCGGCTCGTTACGCTCTATATTCTAACCCCCCCAAGCTGTTGTATGTGACCAAGCTAATCAATCTGTGTAGCATCACTCAGCTTCACCGATGGCGCTCACTTGCCTCTCACTTCCACTAAAGACTGTTATTCGCCTCTCATCGTCAGTCCGCGACTGCCGGCCTCTACACGACGGACCCAAGCTGCTCTTGGCCAGTCACCTTATCTCCACATGCTGCAGTACTACATGTTAGACATTACGTCCGGTAATCCATCATTGCCACTTGCATGGAACACTAGCAACCTCCGCATGCATATTGCCTTGCATGGACTGGGCCCTCCATTCAGCTGATCTCTATCTCCACTCAACGGCTGGCGTTTACCGTGGCCGGCCCAATGTTGACTAACTAGGCCCTGCACGCTGACAGGCATGCCTCACTCAGATAACAGGATGGCGTGAAGTTTATGCGGAACCTAGCCCGCCATCGCATGTCGAAGCAATCACCTGGACTCCCTGGGCAGACACTAGAACCGGCCAAAGCCTGCCCCATCGGAGATCCTCTGACGTGGCGAGCGGTATGTGGTTGATCGGGGAGGAGGCTATATCCCTGAAATTCATGTCACCATCTGTCATAGGTTTGATGAACGCATCGGCGTTGGCTCGCCTACCTTTCCACGCATAATCAGCATGGAATGCTTGCCTCTGGCGGCCTATGAAGAGGGCTCCATGATTCCGACCTTCTCACCGGTGAAGCCGTAAAGAGGAGATTCCAGGTGTGAGCATTTTGCTGCAGTCCATGCGGTGGCAACATGATGCAGCATGTTTCCGTTAATCGTCCCAACCAGTCTGCCTCGTTGTCAGATGAGGCAGCAAGTCCACATTGCCGGACCAATTGCTTGTACAGAGATAGATTGAAGTATACGGCCATTATGTTTTTACTCGAATTGAAGACTAGAGATCCATGGCTCATCTGCAGTAAAGTGAGTGTATAACAGCGGCTGCCAAAAGCTGAGGTGGTGTTGTGGTGCCGTCCGACCTAAGGACGGCCCTCGTGTCATGCACGGAGCCACACCAACCACCACAACAAACATGAGAGCTGCGGCCATTGCTGCGACCGTAGGTAGCTTTGCAAATAGCTGCGCAAACAATTGACCCATTGACCAACTTAGCTTGTTTTGGCATCTTTGACGCGGTGATGTGAGTTTTCATCATTCTGACCGCAGATGAGGCCTGTGTTGCCGTTCTCGAGGAAGTGCAAAGGCGACCGGTTATGAATTGACGTTGAAACTTGCTACACGGCACTCCGCACACGCTTGCTGTCATGTGAGGACAAAGCAATGCTGGGTATTGCGTGGGTACATGAACGGCGGAGAGACTAGGAGGAAGGTCGCACGCAATTTTGATCCCGAGACGAGCAAGTGCTGTGCTTGTGTGGGTCAGCGCTGCGGTCGTTGGCGTCTTCGGTGCATGGGAGGACCAGGCTGCGTGTTTGGGGATTGGCGGGTGCCACTGATAGTGGGTCGAATCGGCCTCGCCAGCCTGGGTGCATGTCCCCGCTCGATGAGTGAGATGGTTGGCTGGCGCACATGAGGGGAACTACATACACGTCCATCGAGGCACTGAGTGCTCTCGACGGCGGTGAAGAAGGACTAGATCAAGCCAGGAGGTGCAGATATCAGACACAGGGCGCTATAAGGGGTTGCAAAGACTTCACAGGTACGACCTTATCTACGGTGGTATGGCCATTAGGAGTGGACATCTCCAAGAGGCAAAAGAGGAGACCCGCCCGTCTTGGTGGCCAATCTGCCCAGCATAGGTGGGACGGTTGGAGTGGCGGCATCTCAGGCTGAAAGCCTTGCTCCGCCTTCGCCTTCGCCTTACCGTGGAGGAAGCATGTGCATGCCCGCTGTGAGGAGCTCGCTCGAGCACGGGAAACTGCTACATGCAACCAAGGTCTAGCCGCATATGCACGAATGAGGAGGGATCAGGGTACAAGTCTATGTTCTGGCTGATTCCACGCGTCGTTTCTGGCTAACGAATACACGAGTGGCTTGTCAGACCGATGACGGCGTGCAGCAGTGATCAAAGACAAAGAAGACGGGCCACCAGGCAGATGTGTGTTGTCAATGCGAGGGCTGCCGAGGCCATGTGTGTATTGCATGAATATAGCAGCCAAAACGGTCTTGGGTCACTGAAGTGGCCGGGACAACAATACGCTGATCCGGAGGAGCAGCAAGGGAACAGCAGGATTTTTCGTAGTCAACCCGAGATATCTCATGCATCTAGTTTAGGCAAAGAGAGTATGGCGGAGATGCCATAGTGGCGCCTACATGTCAAGCATACTCCAAACTATGTACCGACAAAGAGGGGCGCGGGTCAGCCTCCGTTGAAGGCCTCGTCTCCGGACGCGGAAATCGCTGCTGGTTTCGGTGCTTGTAGCAAAGTATGAGCTCGGTACGCACTGAGGGTGTCATTAACCATCGAGCCTAGGAAAATGGCACCAAAGCGTATTGAGCCTGAACGTGGTCTAGCGGACTCTTGTGCTGTCTCGAGCGGTCCACATGCACAAGATGACTACTATACACCCAGCGCCACCAGCCTTACCACTGGCATGCTGTGGAAATGTATCAATCAAATCACTCGACGCCGTATCCACCCAATTGGTGCAACAGATTGTAATAACAAAACCATGTCCCATTTATTGGATCGAAACACCTGTTAGTCGCAGAATCCAGCAGTCGAATGAGCGGTGACGAACGAGTATTAGTAGTTAGAAGGACCGATACCACATGCATGGTAAGCGTATTACCCTTAGATCAGCAAAGTGGAGAGCGACGAGACAAAGAGCAACATCAAAGTCTTGGACTAGTTCTATTGCACGGCAGAGGTCAACGACATGGTCAGCGCGAACCGCAACTTCAGAGTGGCCAATACGGCGGCCCAGCGCTAAACGAAACCTTGGAGTGTTGAGAAGCGCCCACCAGCCTCCGGGACAGCTCTTTTCCCTGGTCAAGACGGTACCAAAGGTGAAACCAAGGGAAGGCACAAGAGAGATGAAAAATCTCCGCCTTGTAGAACTCAAAAAACGGCGTCATTACCGTGTCCGTGCACCTCATGCACGGATTCATCTCGTGCACGCCGAACACCAAACGCGCGTCTCAGCGTCAT